ACTCACTCACTCACTCACTCACTCACTCACTCACTCACTCACTCACTCACTCACTCACTCACTCACTCACTCACTCACTCACTCACTCACTCACTCACTCACTCACTCACTCACTCACTCACTCACTCACTCACTCACTCACTCACTCACTCACTCACTCACTCACTCACTCACACAACACACACAAGACCATCAAATGCCTCTCGAAGGACTACAGTGGATTTAGTTGCGCAACAAAAGCTCCCGCTCTATTGGCGAGCTGCGTAATGCTGCCGACGTACGCCAGCAATGCGCCCCAGGTTCGGCCGTAAGAGAAAACTGCAGCTACAACAAAGACAAGCCCAGGGATGTGCAGGAGCTCCCCCAAGGAAAAGAGGAGGATATAGGCGAGCCACCCTGCCCAGAGCGTCACAGCGATGCAAACACAAGCCCAGCTGACCACATGGCCACCGCTGGCAATGGCGTGGCACTCTTTCAATCACGTGTCCAGTGTATTTGCATCTGCAGCACTTGTGACCGAAAAGCTCCTTTGACACAAAAAATCCCCGGAAGGTGTTGGTCCATTTCGTCGAGACTGCTTCTGCTCCCTGAGTGCGCTTGCGCAAACCTAGTGCCCCCTCCAAAGCTTTCACCCTGCCTAGAGGCCCGGCATTGTCCATGAGTTGCAGTACTCGATCCCGCCGCAGTTGCTTGGTGATACCTGCACCAATGAAGGGTCAGCTGGCTAAGCTTCACCATTTACTTGCCAGATCAGGACACTCCACACGTTCCAGAACCATCTGGCATACGGATCCTGCTAAAAGTTTAACTTTTTTCGGGTTAAACTTAGAAACCCAAACACTAAACCAACTCAACATAGACATGAACAGGACGAGACTCGTGTTGCGGCGACCAACAAAAAATACGCTCCGCCTCCCACCTCTCAACTTGCCTCGGGCGGTTCTAGGTTTGACTTTCCTTGTCATGCACAAGCATGACGGCTGTTATTCGGAACGCAAACCCGAAGACTTCAACATGGCTGGGCTATGCTGGGCTGTCCTTTTTGCAGATCTCATGCTAGAATTGGGTGGAGTTCGGAAACCCAACCACTGGACCAAGCAAAGACAATCGCAGCCATCTAATAAACTGGATGGTTCCCGGAACCCAGTGATCTCATGGCCCAAGCAACTGAACACATCCAAGCTGAACCAGACGATTCGCTGGGAGCCACCAAGATGAGCTCTACGAGCACGCACATTTCTGGGCTCCTTGCCCTCTACGACTCTCATTGCCGGAGGCCGAGAAAACCGGATGTTCCGATCGCAGGCGGACATGGGATTAATGGCTGGCTCGTCTTTTGGGAATCGGAGACTTCGAAAATGGCGCGGCGGGTTCTTGCTTTTGTCTTTTCCCGTATAGCGGAAAAAAGAAGCACCTAGAGTCTCCATGACCCTTGAAATTTGGGGTCATTACCCAGAATAAAGGGGTCGTTGACCCATCGTTAAAGGGTCATGGAGACTCCAGGCAGTACCAACTCAACAAAGCGACAGAGTTGACATGGTCTTCAAGAGCTGCCAGTTCCGCGCGGATGCACGCAATTCGCTTAGACCCCTCCTGACTGCTTCGCCACCAAGAAAATGAGGGCAAGGAGGAGGACTGCGGCTAAGAGGCGGTAGCGTCCTGGCTGAGACCCAACTCAGTCGCCCAAAGGACCCCAAGGACCCAAAGGACCCAAAGGACCCCAATTACCAAAAAACAAAACAAAGGACCCAACCTTTTGGGGCCTTTACTAAAGATAGACCCAAAATTGGAAAACCAAAAGGTCAAAAGGTCGATTCGCTTTGGGCAACTGAGCCAACGCATCCGTTCCTATTGAGATACATGATACCACCACTCCCCCGGCTTGGTACCCATGTTCAGGTGGCTACGGGAAACCACAAGGAAAACCGTGGCGCCATTTGGGGGGCTCCAATTCTTTGTGGCCATGAAGTTGACTGCAAACAAGGCGATCAAAGCTACAAATGAAGCCCAGACTTCTAGGGGTACCTTCCCCATTCTTTCCAGGCATCCTTCTTTCTACAAAACCACCCAAAACCCTGGGGAAACAGCTGGTTTTTGAAAAGCACGGTTGAAAATAATGGGGAATCAACCCCTAGAACACTGCCAGTGATCTCAGTTTGCAGGACCCAAGCTCCTGATCTTGCACTCCTCACGCTCGAGTCGCGACGCTCGACGTCGCTCTCATCCGTCATAGATGAAAGCGTCGTTGAGTAGTTCGAAAGCTCAGTGCCTGGCATCAAATACGGGGTGTGTCTTAGTCCCCCAAATAGACAACAGTCTTGCCGTTGATTTTTCCCGTCATAAGACACGAGACATGGCCACAAGTTACTAGGAGCCGTGGCTTCCAGGGGCTCTGCCCCGATGGGCCCGAAGCTTCAGAGCTCATGCCCAGAAGGCTTCGCTTTGATTGTTGGCAACCCCATGTCAGACATCAAAAGGAGACCACAAATGAAAGGCCAAAGAGAAACCAAGATGAACCAAACTAGGGAGCCAAGCAGGAAATACAGCGCATGAAAACCCCGCATATGAAGAACCCCCCGGATTTTCATGAACCTTGTCCTATGTTTTTGGCGCGTGTTGCCTCCAAAAGTGGCTGACCCCCCATGTTGCGGGACACTTTCCCGGCCCCTAGAGGTTGACTCGATTCCTGGCAAAGCTACCCGGCCTGACTCTTCACATGCCGTGCCGATCGGATCCGCCTGAGTTGCAAGGCGCACCCAACTTGGTCAGAAATCGTTGGTAACGCCAAATGGGCTGCCCCGTTTGGTAAATGGAAAGGACGAAAACCAGCGGTCCAATTCCTGGCTCAATTGGACCCATACCCACCAGCTTTCTTCTGCACTCACAAATTACAATGTCGTGCTGGGAGCATGTGCACAAGCTGATCTTGTACGGTTCAAAACACACACAGCCGGCCGTCCTCGAACCCACCAAACCTTGGAACTACCACAGTGTATGAACTGTTGATGATCAATTATTGAACGCATTACTGGTTCTTGTCCCTTGAAACGATCGATCCACTTTGGAGGTAACCCAAAAAGGGACATGGCTCGGCAACCCTGACTTCTCGGAGCGAAATCTCGGTCGCAAGTCGGCGGTGGTCAAAAATAGTTGGCAACCCCAAAACTTGGTTGGAAGGGGAGCAGAAAGTTGAAATGTTAGCAGTTAAGTAGGGATTTCCCACTAAACCACAATAAGCAACATGTAAAATGTTTCCCAACGACAACCATGGTCGCCCGTTTGGTAAGGACATGGACGCTACGTCCGCCAGGCCTTGGACGCCCCCGGGCACTTCACCCGCAGGGAGCCCATCCCGTCCGCCGGCCGCTGGAGCCGAAAGGGGCGGACAAAACGAGCGTTTGGGGCAGCTTTCAAACAAAGTGCCGCGGGTTTTTTCTTTGTTTTTTCTCCGGGGTCCGCGGCGATTGGGGATACCCGGGTGAAATCTTCTTTTCGGTGGTTTCAAATTGGTGGTTTTGGGGGTGTTCTTGGGAGGCAACCCCAAGAAGAAACACCCTCAAGAGCTAAGAGTTACCTGCAAGACCAGTTTCAAATGACCCTCAAACCAACGTAAAGAACTACAAAGGCCTCCGCACTGAAAAACTCGTTGGGCATTTGGGCCTGTTTTTTACTACCTTCACTTCCCTGGGTTTTGATTCCGGCGGTCGCAAATCCACTGCAAGTCCTGATTCCAATTTGGCAAGGCAGTCCCCGTGGCCGTTCCAAGCTTCAGCGCCGAACAGGCCGGAAGCGCCCTGAAGTCATGGCCCCATTCAGAGACACAGTGAGCCTGGAGAAGCCACTGGGCGACATGCCATGGTGTCGCAAATATTAGCTACAAGATCTTTCATAAACCAAACGTTCAAATTAAAGAGCTGGGGCAAACCGCGGGTTTTAGTCTTTGGCTCCATTTACCAGGGTGCCATTTTGGAATTCCACTTTTTTGAGCCACAGCCACAGCCATTTTGTTTCATGCTGATTCAGGTTCTTCCCCGAGCCTCGTCGACCGCCAACAAAGAGACGCGCTCCAGCATCTGCAGCGTCTTCGCCTTCGCCTGGGTGTCTCGGAATTTTTGCGCATCCGAATCCAGTGCTTGAAATGTCTTCCCTGCACACGAGGTGACAAACGTCATGAGAAGTCAGCGAAGAAAAACCAAAAACACACACACACACAACTGTGGCAATCATTCTAGGTACATAAGACAAAGCCAATATCACTGACTGAGCGCGGCAGCCGCGCTAAGGCGACCATAGTGCCTTGATCAACATCAACAACTCCAAGGGATCAGAACCACTCCGCGATCCATTCCGCGATCCGAGCGGTTGTCAACGTGTAGTCAGTACTGGGCGAAAAAACCCGGCTACTAACTTGGCCCAACATCCAAGAATCTTGGCCCAAACAAAATACAACTTGGAACTTTTGCAAAATCAGACACACATCGTATGTGTCTGGAACCCATTTGCACTGGATCAGCATTTGCACTGCTGGATCTGCGTCTTTAGCAGCTCCAAGAACACTTTCCTGAGGGAATCTCTAATTGTCAATCCTGAATGCAATGCTTCAAGACTTTAGGCGCTACTGCGCAATTAAACATGCCAAAGGTGCTTAGCCACACATAAATGGGTCGAAGAGGAAACTCCTTTCTGTCAGAAGGACCTTGCATAAACTCCCATGTATATGTATGGATGCAAGGATGGAAGGATGGAGGGATGGACGGATGAATGCATGGATGCATGCATGTGCATGGACGGATGGATGAGCTTAGAAAAAAGTGGTACCAACTTTTTCTGTAGTCTATTTTAGTAGGGGCAACCCTTCCAACCAAAAAAGGGGTGAGAAAGGGCACCTAGCTGGGTGTAGTCAATCTTAGTAGGGGAACCCTCCCCCAAGAAAGAAACGATCCTGGACCCAGTTCCTCGAGCTCCAAACCGCCTCTTCTGGCGCCGCGCAAACCCGCGGCCCGCGCCTGGCTCACCGCCCGCTCCGGGGACATGAAGATCACCGCCGCGCCGCGGCGCAGCTGCTGCAGCGCGCTGGCCCAGCAGCTCTCGCCCCCCTGCGACCGAGATGAATCCAATGGGCGCGGCGGTTTGTTCCCGTTGAGTGAGGGCATGATGCGGTTTATGGGGTTCACCGTTGGCGAATCCAAAGGCGCTGAAACAATCCGCGGACAAAAATGCTTGAAAGACTCAACATGAGCTTGTCTACCTTAAGCCACAACATCTTCCACACTGGCACAATCAACAGCATGAAAAAGCATGATTAGAGGTAGGCCCAATTACAAGAGATATATTTTGTTGCTTGCTTCACTTTGAGATTGAGTCACCGGTAAAATCTAAATGTATCCTAAGTCTACCCCAGCAATGGGTGCAGCAGCTTCTTGTTTTTCTCTTTACATGGTGCTGGGTACCCTCCCTCCCACTAACATGCCAACTGACACAGGGTACCCCCAAGAGGAAAGGCATGATCTGGGCACCCTCCCACAGTAGACCAGTTTAATACCGGGCTTTGATTATGACTCACCTTTGGATGGTGATAATGTGGATGGACGAAATCCATTTCGCACCAACCAAGAAACCATGGAATGATTCGATTCCCATGCAAATATCAACACTTGTTTTAACGATGGTTTCATTTCGTGTTGCGAATGCATTTTGTCCATCAGCAGCACTTGCGGAAGGGTACCTGGAAGATAAATTTCCTCTAGGAACCCCCTGTCAGGTGCCATGGCAACGTGGGAATAGGGGCACCCTAAATGCAATTGCTTGGCCCCCCTGCAAGGACCCTCAAGACCTCACCAGGGATTAGTCCTACTACAACTGGTCTTAGTACGTGTAAGTATTTGCATCGCTCGAGTAGCGTTGGCTGCAGCTGCAGCAGTGTTAAAGATGCTAGCACTAGCCGGGATTGAAAAAAAAATACGGCTAGTAGACGTGTGCAGTAAGCAGTAGCAAAGAAACCAACATAGTGAAGTTGGCATCACAATTGCACAATTGCACAGCTCAAAAGTTTCACCGTGTTGCAATGCATTCGAATGTCACTAGTCCCATGAACGGGATATCGTTTTGTTCACTCAAGTGGCCATGGCTCTCCGAAGATCCGAAAACCCTGCGCTCAGCTGCCAAATGGTTTGCTCTTTACATTCATAACATCTTCAAAGGGATGGATAAAAAGGATCGGTTTCCCGTCGGTTGTCAAGCCTCTCCATCGAAAAAAGGCATTTCATGTCCAACCAAACTCCACAGCTACCAAAGGCAATCACACAAATTGCCGGGAACTGGAAATTACAAATAGTGGCATTTCACAACATAACAGAACATAACATAGCACAGACAGTTTGTTTTATGTCACATGTCACATGAGCAGCTAGCAAATCTTGCATGAGCGCCGTTTTCGGCGGAAAAGATCTGAAGCAAACGGGAAGCTGCAGCTCACAAAGGGGTCGCTGGATTTCCCCAAATCAAACGTTGCTCATGTTGCTGGTGCATTCCATTGAAACCATCGCCACTTTTAAAGGCGATCCAAAGAAGGAAATGGCTCGGAAAGTGTCTTTGTTGGGGGAGTACCCAGTGGTTCCAAAGAAAAGCCAAAAGGACCAGCCGCCAGTTGGCCAACATGGAGATCCGCTGAAAAAACGAGCGGGGGCAAGTCGCCACCGCGTGCTCCGCTGCAACAAATACGGGGCGGCTCGTTGTTTTGTCTGAGGGCACCCGTTTAAAGGATGGCTTTAAAAGGACGCCAAGAGATAAAAAACACCCCCAAATGGGGGGGGGGGCATTCCTATTTTAAGACACAGGAGCAATTGAACGGGATCTGCTCGTCTTTCTCCGCATGAACAAATTGAATGCGGAGGTCTTGGCTTCCGAAAGCGGGTACGTGGGCTACTCGGGCTTGGCTAACGCGGATGCAGTTACTTGGCAGGTAACCAAGGGCTTGTCACCATTTAACCATCACAAATCAAATAACTGATTACCCTCCCACCAATTAACATGGAACCTGGCAGGGGGTTTTGGAAGACAACTTTCCTTTAGGGCCCCCCTGGGTGGGAGGGTACCTACTATAAAGGCTTACCTGGGATCCACTGGGTAAGGTAACACCAGTTGGCTGGAGTTATTCCTCCGCTGCAAACGGCTTTGCGAGTCAAGATCGTATTCCGCAAAGTCGAGATCATCGCGCGAGAATAATCTGTCAATGCAACAAATTGATCTTCATCAAAGGACATGAGGAGACCCAATTCCACCAAAACAATTCCACGAAGAGCTTGAAACGTCACATTCCCTTCATTTTAAGGAATGAACGGAGGGTTACTTAAACGGGCAGGGTACTTAGTGAGTGGGTACCAACCCAGAACCCACTTAGGAGACCTATAACCATCGTAAGTGGTTATGATCAGGGTTGTTACCCACTTGTTAAGCACCCCACCCCTTTAAGTACGTGCAGGTATTGACAGTTCTGTGGCCATGGGTCAAAAGCCCGTACCCCCAGTGAACATCCCAACCCCCACCAAGATAGGTTCTAAAATGGGTGGTAAATTCACCTACCAACCAAAATGGGATCCCAAAACGGTTTTGACAACCACAGGCATATGTCTGTAGGTCTGCATGTGTGTCTGTAGGTCTGTAGGAAACCACAAATTTTAGGGTCTGAGACAAACCCACCTGAAGCGACCTGTCCAACTCATTGGTTTTGACAACAGCCATGTGTAAGTGGCTTTGCCGCCTGCGGCGAGCAGACCACCGCCCCCACGCCACAGCGACGGAGCCTCTCCGCCTCCCAACGGATACATGGAGGCGTCGTAGCGAAAAAAATGGGGGAACCAAGAAATGGCTGTGGGTTAAAGCCAATGGTACTATTTTGGTTGGTAGGTGCACCACCCATTTTAGAACCTATTTTAGTGGGGGGTACGAGATGTTCACTGGGGGTACGATTTGGATTTCGAGCCATGGCCAAATGGGTACCTCCACTCCCACGTTGCCCTGGCGAAGCCTACAGGAAGCCTACAAGGCGAAGCTCAGCTTCCAGGTACCCTCCCGCTATGCTAGTGGAAGGGAGGGCGTGTGTCAAATGCTGCGGACTTTTGTCCTATGCACAGTGGGGGGGCCTTGAAACCAAGCCCAAATCGGAAACCCTCCGAAAACAACACACACACACACAAATGGATTCCGATGGTGTGATTGCTCGTGCCCCCCAAGACATGAACCGAATCGAAGAAACGGTTTTCGTTTTTGGATCTACTGCGCGGGATAGCTCATGCACTTGTGCAGTGCAGTGCCTTCAGGGCATACTCTTCTGGGCTCTCCTCAGATCCCCTGCTAAAAGTTCAACCTGTGGGTTAAGCGCAAACCCCCACCGAACCCTCAAACCCTAAAAACCTACAGAACCGGATGGCCGGCCTTGCCACCAAGTCTTGCTGGCTTGACTCAGCGTGTGTCAGTTCGATGGTCTTTGCGTGGCCGAGCTCGTTTCTATCCGACTTCTCGTTCAGCCCAGCAGTGTGTCAAAATCAATACGGAGCATGCTCTCAATCGGACTTACAAACGCCAACCCCACCAGCATCCCTGGAAGATAAGCACTGAGGACGCAAGTTCTCAGCTCCAAGTATTCCAACGGCAAAGCAATCCCATCTTCCATGGAAGCCAGCCATGCTGTTCCATTCACTGTCAAAATGCCTTCTGTCTTCTGCCTACCGCCCTACGGCCACCACTTTTCCTTGGTGAAAAATATGTACCCTGGTTCCCTGGTGGTTTTGTTTTGACCCATACCCAAGTGATGAAGATACCAAGACAGGGGGCGAACGGACCTCTTGTCTGCATTTCATGACCCTGCCTGGTCATGCATCAACGAGACCAAGGGTGAAATCACCAGCGCCACTGGGGCGACGCCTCGCCAGTTGCCCGTTCAGAATCCCAGCGGAAGGATTCGATTACCCTCCTGGGTCCTCCGGATTTTACCTTAGACTGCCATGATTTGGAAGATCCAGGCTATAAATATCCACAAGCAATGGGAAACCCCATGGTTTGAATGTGGTGCGAACGGACTTCAAGCCGAGCTGGTCGGCCAGCTCGCTTTTGAAGCTTCAATCAGGTTGCAGTCTGCTCTCACAATGAACCAACAAAATCTGCTCCGGTGGAAGATGGTTCCCAGGCGTCCTGAGCAAACCTTGCAAATACCAGGGATCAACTGAGAACGCTTCTGTCCGGTCAGCGCGCTTGTCAGCGCGCCAGCGCTTGCGCGCCTCCTCCCATGCTCTGCCAGTGGCGGTCTACGAGCACAGGCAATGTGAAGCAGGCGCTCTTGCCTCGGAAAATTACAAAATCCCCATGATAGGCTGCCGGGCTCTCCGTTTTCTGATCTGCCAAAAGTTTGGCTTGAGGGTTTTAAATGGAAGCCCAACCACTAAACTAACCAAAAACCTAGAAACCTAAGGGAATGGCTGAGAATAGTATATGGGTTAAAGGGAAACCCAACCACTAAACCAACTAAACACCTAAGAACCTGAGATGGCTGGGAACCACCGAGGTTAGTATTACATCAACGCAACGCGACTTTTCAGACAGAAAATGGCAATCACAAGGTAAAGGCTCTAGGCTCATTTCACCCAATACGCCTAAACACCTCTCAGGACACGAAACCGACTGGCAAAAGCATTTGATTGTCAAGATCTCTACAGGCGGGGGCGCACCCATGCGCACCCCAAGGCAAGGTTGGGTAGCTATTTCTTTGGCAAGCGCTGGATGAGTACTGTGTCCTTTCCGACGGATAGCATTCAACCAGCGCTCGGCAGACAACGGAACAAGTAAACTGAATAGACACGGGCTGTCTGATAAAGGCGGTTGCAGGGAACCCAGTTCTCTGATTTGGACAGTGTCAACCACTTCCCCGGAACGATGTTGCTTTTGCCTTGGCCTTGTGGCTAAAGTGGCTGTGGGTACCGAAAATGGGTACCCAAAATGGAATCCTATGGGTTTCATGGACTAAAACCTGCGGCGGCCTGGCGGCTTCATTTGGGTATGGCTCAAAATTAAGGAGCTGGGGTTACGCGGGTTTTAGTCTTTGGTGCCATTTACCAAGGTGCCATTTTGATACCACTTTTTTGAGCCACAGCCATTTTGACCCATACCCAAGTGAAACTGACCATCCTGACTTTGATTTGCGGGGCTCGCGGCACTGGACTCGCGGTATCCTTCGTCTTCGTTGGCGTCAAAGGCAGCCCTGCAAATGCTTGGCTTCTTGTCTTCCCTGGAAAACCCAACATGTCCCAAAGTTCAACGTCTGCAACAAACTGCTGTAACCGATCCCCTGCTAAAAGTGACTAACTGTTGGGTTAAATTCGGAAACCCAACCACTAAGTTTTACTGACTTAATTACAAACAACGACCCACGAAACCAACCCAAACCACCAAAAAACCGCTAAAAACCCCTAGAAACAACCGCATGGTTCAAGAACAAGGCCAAAAAACGCCCCCCCAGAAACTCGCTCGAACAAATTGGCGCCTCATCTCCCAAAAGCCCGCGGCGAGCGCCGAGCGCCGAGCGCCGAGTCCCATGAGTCCCGCGCCGCTGCCGGTGCCCGACACCACCACGCAGCTGCGCCCGGCCGCCCAGGCCTCCACTGCCCGGCGCCTCGGAGCGCTCGCTCGATCCCGGAGCCTGCCACGTCCCAAGAAACCAAATCCCGTCCTAAGCGCAACTGAAAAACTGTGTCCTATGGTGCAATAAGCGCAAATTTTAGAATTTGGTGCAAATTGAGCTTCATCCACCCGGTGCAAATGGATCGAGGTCAACAAAAACGCTTTGGATGTGCGCTTTGCTTTCTGGATTCACCTGGAACATCCTGGAACTGTTGGACTTGTTGCAAGTCCCAAACCACAAATCGGGGTGCAAGCGAACATATCGGGGGTGCAAATGTTACTCATCAGCTTTCCTTTTGGTGGTTTGGTTTGCCGAAGTTCGGTGGTTTGGTGGTCTTCCGAAATGAGAAACCCCATTCCAGGGGTGCAAATTAACACACCGTACTCCTTTTACATACGCCATACCCCACGGAAGGCCCTTAAGATAATATGTACTTAGAATCAGCTTCCCTCGTTTTTGCGTGGTTTGGAGCCAAATCGGTGGTTTGGTGGTTAAGGAGGTTTCCCATGTACCCTCTATACAAGAACCGAGGATTCAAATCCCCAGACCAGCAATCCCAACCACCAACTAAGGGTTGCCTCCAAATTGTCCAAATGCAATTGGGGGTTGATCAAATGGTCCTCATGTTACATGGGATGACCATTGGTTGGAATATTTCAACCACTACATGAAAGAAAATACCCAAGGGTCCAGGAATATTGATCAACCCCCAATTGTCAAAAAGTCATGGTTCTATGTAGGGCAACTGGTTGGCTGGCCCCCTTATGTTTGTTTATTATTACTGTTTTACCTACATGTCATCCTTGTTCTTTTTGACAGATTCCGTAAGCTAAAAGGGGAAAATACTTACCAAACAACTATCTTGAGCGAGTATTCCTCCCAATTAGTGTTTGGAGCCGAATCGGTGGTTTGGCAGTCTTCCGTGGGCCGGAAACCACATCTACCCTCTACAAGAAGGGGTTCAAATCCAAATCCAAATCCAAACCACCAATTGAGGGTAACCTGACTCAACTTGCTGATGCGATAGGTAGGGAATGACGTAACGAGTCCGGGTGTTGGGAATGAACCGGAAGGGCAATCCCCTCGAAACCAAATCAGGGCTGGTTCTTCTCGAGGTGTCCCACTGAAAGGGGCGATCGATTCGGCACCTCGGGCAAGTGTATACCATTGTGAGATAGCCCACCGAAAAAAGCCATCCTTCTATGTGCTTACTTTGGAAAAACCCAGCTCCAAACCTGACATTTGCTGAATTTGTAAGGGGTAGGTACAAGAAAGGTGGCAAGAGCCCTAGGGTTAGCCAAATTGAGTCACAAGGTGTGCAAACACATGTGGGTGTCTTTTTGGTTGGTACAGTACCCCCTTTAAGTTGGTTTTAAAATAATCCAAAGCAAAGCAGCCGCCATCAATTTTAGGGGGGGGGGGAGGGTCCCATAAAAAAAAAAAAAAAACACCCATGTTTGCCCACCGCTCAATCGAGACCTCGAGGCGAGACCACACTGTTCCGGCCATGGTGTGTCACCTATACGTTGTTTGTGGGTTTCAAGGGACACCAAAAAAGAAAACCAATCATTTTGTGGGTCCCCTCAAAACGCCACCCATGCTTAAAGGGGCATTGTACTTAGTACGTGGTTAGTAAGCATGGTGAGATAACCCACATATCAGCCATGGTTGTAAGTCTCCGTTCAGTGGGTGATCTCACCTTACCTGTTTTCAAATGGGGTCCGTGAAAGCGGTGACATCGTGACTCCGCCGGTCGTCAACTTCAAGATTCCCTTGCAATGGTCGGTTGAATCAAAACAGCTTTGTTGCAGTTCTGAACACCAAAACGGCTCAACGCATTGGGTAAATTCAACGTGTTGAGGCGATCCTATTACGCCGGTTCCACAAGCACAATGCGCGCAGGGTGCGTTTCTCTGACTGAACTAAAAAAGCACCCAACACGGAATCCTCAGAACCTACACCCTAAGACACGGAATGTCAAACATTGAGAAGCCCAAGCTTCATCTGTGGCGCAGCCCTTCCAAATCAAGTTCGAATTGAAAACACTTGATGACACTTGAGAACTCGGAGAAAAGTGCTGAACAGGGCTGTGGGAAATGACCACTTCTGTGATACAACAAGAAGGGCTTCCCAAAGACTAACCCTGCACATAAAGGGGGAGATTCCCTTGTATCACAGAAGTGGTTGGATAAACCCCTTGATCCCACAACCCTGGTGCTGAATGTTTTGAGGTAGCTTCCTGGGAGGTCAAACCCCCAGTCGCTCTTTCGCTGAGGGCGCTGGAAGCTGCGGAGCCTCGGCCAGGCGAACTGCTGCCGCGCCAGCGCCTCCGCGACCTGAACGCCGCGCGGATCGAGGCCGCCGGACCCAGGCTGGGTGGCGCAGGGTGGCTCGGTGGCTTTCTTGGACCCACAGCAAAATGGCGGGGGCAACGGAGGAGGTCTTGGACAAGATGGTGGGCCGAAATGGGTGGCTCTTTGGAATTGGGACCCCCCAAAATGGCTGTGTTCCTTTTGGTTTCCCTTGAAATTTCCACAAAAAGGGGGGTACCAACTCAAATATTCACGCCTGCAGAGCTCAGTAACTAACTGTTGACTCAACTGGGACACTTAACTTCATGACACCCAGCAAGCTTGACATGCTTCACCGACAAAAGGCATTGCATCAAAAGAATCAGGAGAGCGCTGGGGTCAAAGGCTGCTTTGCACGAGAAGGTGCCCTCTCTTTGTTTTGGCCTATCTTCGGCTCGCGACTCCGCAAAACAAGAAACACGGGGCTTTGGATCCCCTCAATGGTGCATTGTCCAGCTGATTTCCCTTAAAGAAAAAACATCATTGCTCAAAAGCACCCATTTTCAGCCTTCCTCACATTTGAAGTCATTGTGCTTCACTTGTTCTGTCTTGCTTTTTGGCTGTCTGGCAAGCCGGTACTCCGTGCAGGTTTTGGAGACCGTCTGCAGAGCCTTCGCTGCGGTGCTGCTTTCTCGGGCCCGTGCACAAAGCACCCCACAGGGTTCTTGTTGACTCAGGTGGACTTAAACCTTGGGGGTTCAAATGAAAAGATCGACCAAAGAGTCGTTGAAATCTGGGGTCGAATTCCTGGAACCCGGTGACCCCACAGTTTGCTTTGAGACCGCGAAGAGGCAATGTCAGTGCATGGAACGTTCGCAGTGAATTCTGGCAAATCGAAGCTGCCAAAAGAAGCGCAACGATGATGGTTTCGCCCGAAAAAGTTGGGTGGTTGAAACTTAAACGGATTCAATTGGAGTCCAGAGATATCACAGCCTTTTGACTGACCGCCTTTAAAGCTTTAAATGGATTCCAAAGGAGCCGTCCAAAGGGGGAGCCTTTTGACTGACCGGAGCCTGGACAGCAGCAGTTTGAAGCAGCTCTCCTGGGTCCTCAAGCAGCGCTGCGCCGCAAATCCCAATCTTTCCCGTGCTTTTTACCAAAGTGCTGCAACTTCATTGGGCCAAAGTCACCCCCCCCCCCCAGAAGTGGTAGGTTAAAGGGAAACCGCCAACGAGTTTGTGACCTGAACCGCAGACATGGTGTCAAAACAGAATCCCAGTTTGACCTCTGTGCGTTGCGCGGGACGCGACCACCTTTTTGACGGTCGAACCTTTTGCTGAGGTTGAAGGCCTTGCCTCTCAAGTCCTTCCGGAGCGAAGATTTCCGTGTGGGGGTTGATGAGTTTGGACAGCCCAGGTACCTTCGTTTGGTGGCACAAGGAAACCCAAGGATCAGACTGTACACCGCGCTTTTTTTTGGGGGGGGGTTCAACCTCAAAGACGAAGGCCCACGGGGTTGATTTATTTTTTTCGAAAGGCCTGGTTTGACCATGGATAGCTTTTCCCCTGTGGTGAAAGTCAAATCTTTTTGTTGTTTCTCTTCTTTTTTGTTTCCCGTGGCTTCCCTGATGGTCATCCCATGTAAATCTTTTTTTAATCGTGGCTTCCCCGGTCATCCCAAGTTTCGCGGACCTTTTGATCAGGATGTATTGGAAACTCTCAAAGTCAGGGGCTCCAAAGGTTTCAAACCTCAGCTCCAGGACCTCTGCTTCGCGAAAAATGGCGGTGGTCAAAACCCTACCCCTGGTGAACAGAAAACTAGGTGGTACATGGGTGTTCCGCCCCAAAATGGAGGCATGGGTTATGACCCACGGCCAAATGTCGGCATCTTCTTGGAGCTCTGTGGAAGGTCCTCCCAGACTGTACAATGTGAGCACTTAAAACTTCACCTCTACGACCGCTGGCGAAACCGCCAGCCAAAACGCCTACACGCAACGTTCACCTCAGCACGACGTGTATCGGGCCCAGAATGAAGTCGGGCATGTTGGCCAGCGTCAAATACAAAATGTTACTCCCTGCCGTCACACTGATGGGAAACTCCCTGCATACCTCGCCATCTTTCATCTCACTGACCTGGCACTCTTTGCATATGCTGCTATTGAAGCGAACCACCATGTTTGGTACATCTGACCCGCCCCAAGTTCGGAGCACAGACTGATGATAGTTGGCATCCGCGAGGAAGGCGAGACAAAATCTGTATGTGTCCGTATCCTTGTCAAAGCGGATCACGCTGTGTTGCCCGTCTGTTGCACTTTGTCTAGAGTGGCGCCCTGTTTCTTTCATTCGGATGGACTTCTCACCATGGAGTTGCTGTACAAATACTCCTTGGGACCAATTGCTCTTGAGGCAAATGAGCCGTGGCTTTGGCTCGACCGTCTTTTCTGGCAGATCCAATTCTCTCACGGCATCCTTCTTCGCAGCCTTAGATCGAGAGTGCAGAATAAGCAAGATGTGGGTTACAACCAGGGCAATGAGAAGAGAAGCGAAAAGGACGTCAAGCGCTCCTTGCCAGCTACCAGCCCCGGGCAGATTCTGAAACATGAGGCGCGGATTGGGCTGCTCAGCCGAATCACAGACTACAAGCTCGAGCTTTTAACGGCGAACTGACTGGTACGTCTTTGAATCGAGAGATGAGAGACGTCTCTTTTGGATGGCTTGCACCTGCAATGCCACCACAAAAACAACAAAAACATGTCAGGGGTCTCTTATTTTGAGGAAACACGCGCAGCTTGCTTGAGTGCCATGCTGCGCTTATGACAATGTGGCCCCTCTGCTTGCCTGCGGTTTGCGGTTCTCGCTCGACACCTCAAAGCTTTAAGGGCTAGTTGACGCGCCCCGCATGGAAGGAACCTGCAGGGGGGAGGGGGACTGAGCAAGTCCTATCAAGTGTGTTCCTTTCAATACGCATCTGCTGGGAATGTTTCACCAAATATTCGGAAGGATACAAAAGGTAGCTGCGCCAGGAGTTTCCTGGACGTGTCATGGGGAGAAGAGAGGTCGGAGTGGGTATCGGAACAAAGGCCCGCTGTTTGTACAGAGCGTTTTAGTGTGACTTGCCGACAAGCCAGTCGACAAAGGAACCTCCTTCATGGGCATGAATCTCAGTTCGGGACCCGTTGGCATCTTTTTGCTTTTGGCCCGGGATTCTTGTCCAGCAATCAGTTTGGAGGTGATTCCAACTCTTAAAATGTCCCCCCTCCTTAAGCAAGAGGGGGGGTGGGTCCGGGACCCAATTCCATCTCTTCAGTCTTCATAAAAGGAATATTGCTCATCATAAATGAACCTCCAGGAGTCACCTCTCTCCCCCAACTCCATTTGGCTGTGGGTCAGAACCAATGGGATCCCATTTTGGTTGGTAGGTGAATTCACCACCCATTTTAGAATCTATTGTAGTGGTTGGATTGAATCGGATGTTCACTGGGGGTACGATTTGGCTTTTTGGATTTTGACCCATGGCCATTCATGAGGGGCTGGGCATCTCTCCAAACTCACGAGCTTCGGTCGATCGGTAAGGTCGTCCGGTCCTCCGGCGCGCTGCAAAGGCTGAGCATTTGTGTGGGGCTCGCCACAAAACCTGACCGCTGCAACTTAAGCTTCAAGAGAGAGGCGGTCCGTTTTCAGATCTGATCCCCTGCTAATGGTGACGAACTTTTGGGTTAAAATCGGAAACCCAACCACTGAACCAACCAAGAACAACTAAACACCCAAGGGACCAGATGGGTGGGAAAAACCAAGTCAAGAGAGAGGCAGTCTCCGTGGCTGGCAGAGTTGCGGTAAAGACATCCCAAAAAAATGGCCACCGGTGCTTGATTAACCCGCTTCTGCACCAACGCTGAAATCAACCTCCTGGCCAGTGGTCACGCGCCTTTCCAGCTTTTTCGGGTCCAATTTCTGCGGCATCGGTGACTTGACTAGGTCCTCCAGTAGAGAGGTTAGAATAAGGGTACCATGGGTACCCTTTTTTCTGTAGTCTATTTTAGTAGTGGAATCCTCCCTCCAAAAGGGTAAAAGGGCACTACTGGGGGTCCTAGTTGAGTTTCTGTGGGGCCCGTTGCCCCTCACCCGAAGCCGCCCCCACCGGCGACCAGCCAAGTGGCCTTTCTCGATACATGCCATTGGCGCCATCTGCCCTGCGATTGAAACCGCTCCAAATGATTTGAGTGGCGGCTCCCAGTTGTCTAGGGGTACCTTCCATTTCCATTCTGAACCCAGGGATCCCAATCTTTTCAGGAAACCATCAAAAAACCAGGGGGAAACAGCCGGTTTTGAAAAGAACGATGGTGGAAAAGAATGGGGAATCAACCCCTAGAAGTTCTAGCGACCTACTGTGGATGCGCGTGAAAAAGCCGCTTCGCGCACCTGAGAAAACCAACGGAATGATTCGATTCCCCAACGGAAATACCAACCAACCATGGATTCAATCATGGTTTCTCGGGTGGTGCGTAATGGATTCGCAAGCATCCACATTAGAGTTGCCAAATGTTCTTGACAAACCGACCATGTCTCACCAAGACTTAGCAACCGGGAGTCGGATCGCGCTTCTGTCTGGCGTCGGCTTGCGAACGCGAGCCGTCCCAAGGATGAAACACCCTTTAGCCAAACAAATACGGATTAGCAACCCATACGCCTCATCCGAGCAAACAAAAGTTCCACTGCCAGGTGGCGCTAAACAAAAAACTCGACTGCCAGACTTTGGGTCATGGTCCTACCCCAGATCCAGATCCATGTTTTCAGTCTAGACCAAAGGACCCGTTTCAGACCGAAACGAGCCAAACCAAGGGGTTTTCCGCCTGAGTCATCCCAGGTGAGCAGCGAATGATCAAAGTTCGCGAGCTGCTCTAAGCGGATCTGCGTGCTCTGTCGATCCTTGGATGCAGTTTTTCCACATGGCTATGGGGCAAAAATAGGGTAAACCCAAAATGGCTGGCCCTGGCAAATAGAACCAAGGACTAAAACCTGCGGTCCAATTGAATGTTTAATTTTGACCTATACCCACATGGAGCCTGACGTTTGGGGCGTCCCTTGAAAGGAAAATGGTTCCTGCAAAACCCCCCTGTGAGGTTCCATGTGAATTGGTGGGATCCTGCTCCCAACTGGCTCTTGGCGGAAAGAAAAACTCCCTCAGACCAGCCAAAAGCTCCCCCAATTGGCCGATCCTGTAAATGGAACCAAATCTTCCATGTTAGTCTGGGGGAGTGTAAAGGGAAACCAGGAAGCCAGGCAGTTTAAGGAACCAAACAACTGGATGCTTCCCAGTGTTCGTGCGAACTAGGATGATCAATCCACATTCATGCCCGGCTCTAAGCAGTATCGTCAGTTGCCCATATCCAGAGCGTCAAGAAAGACAAATGATGCACCATTAGAATGAAGATACCGTAAACACCACTGAACAACTGGCCTAAGAATGAGGAATGGCTAAGATCACTTTGTGCAGTTGGTGGAACTGCCTGCCATGAGCGCAAACTGGGTAAAAGCATAAGACTCTTTTGGGCAGGCCCGGGGTGAGGGTGGGGCAATCAACAACGAGAATTGTCTCCATGGCCTGCAATCAGCAATCAGGCCCCTGCTTCACGCACGATCCGGAGCACTATCCCGTGCCCACCGACAGAGATGGCCGTCATGGCTACAGGCGAATACCCCAGTCTGCAAAAGCCAAGAAGCGTCGTCCAGCATTGATTGAGCAGCACCAAACGCATGCCTGGGATGCAGTGACACGTTGGAGAAAAGATGTCAGTGTTCTCAATTTTGACCTTGAGTGCCCAGAGCAGCAGCCGCAAGCACAAGGTCAAACGTGAGGCAGCCGAGTTGCACATTGACAGATTTTCAAAAATGCACTACATATGCTGAGATGAGCGATCAGCCTGTGCTTTGTATCTGCTGGGAGTAAAGATTCTGCCCCGCCCCCCCCGCACACGCACACACGCATATACCCACGCACGCACGCTCGTACGCATGCACGCACAAACGTGCGCGCACACATGCATTGTAGCAGTTAAGCACCAAGCCGGGCGTGAACCCAGCCGACACCGCGGCTCTCCATGGCAATATCCCCCTGCCATGTGGGCTCATGCCCGAATTCCGAATTAGCGAGAAAATGGATCTACCATAGAGGCTAGCTCAAAGCTCAAAAACGGTTTTCCGTTTTCCTTGAAGTTGCTAACAATCCAACCAGTAGTCAATAAATCACACTGACGTTGTTCAGATGCTTCTCAGTTGGCTCTGAGGTTCTTGGCCACGTCTCGCCTGGTATTCGTATGTTTGGTTGTCTGCGTTGATGTTGATTCTCAGTGCAATCATTTCCAGCCGGCTGCAGCAACACACATCAATTTACAGGCACCGCGATTACAGAATGTCATAATTGAACAAGTATCAGCTGTCAACTGGCGGCAGCTTTCTTCTACCTCTGCTTTCAGGCGCCTTGACGAATCAGGATCTCGGTAAGGGCAGGATCAAACATCGCAACGCTATTCAGATACGAACGACGGTGTCAATCCAGCTCAAACATCTTGGCTGCACGTTGAAGCGCTCCCAGCGTGAGGGAAGCTATGCGCACACAGCGGGAAAGCCAGCCATCCATCGCAGCTCCAGCTTATCTGAATGTCGATGGGAGTCCATGTGCAAAAGAATCCTCCTGAGATGCGTAAAGCCCTCTGCAAGGTGAGTCCAACTCAAATATAAGAATTTCGTACAGCGACTCTTAGCCGCACAATCTCTACAAGAGCCTCTCAATTTGCATGTAATAAAGCCCATGGGCAGCTGATGCCAAGTGTCAAGCAGTGCAAGGTTCCAGCAATGAAGATGTGCCACCAGGTGTGCAGCTGAGGATATGGCAGCCCAAAGGGCAGGTTCTGCAGCCAGCTACAATGGTGATTGTCCAGCAGCCAAGCAACCACCGAGACGGCAAACATCAAGAGCGCTGCTTGCAGGACCCTGTCCTGATGCCGCAATCAGGAGCGCAAGGACCAGCCCTTTGTTTTCTTCTCTCTCTCGTTCTCTCTTTCTCTCTTTCTCTCTCTCTCTCTCTGTCTGTCTGTCTGTCTGTCTGTCTGTCTGTCTGTCTGTCTGTCTGTCTGTCTGTCTGTCTTTCTCCTTCTTTTCCAGTCGACCAGCAACATGCAATCAAGACGTCTAAGTCGTACCTCCCAGCGACGGTCTCGTCACGCGTTCAACGGTCAAAAGCTTTGTAAATCCAACCTAAATTGGACACAACGATCTTCCTGATCCATACGTTGTCTACTTGTCAAAAACCTCGAGACTTCGGAGCCAGAGGATCGTGCCCAAGTCTAAGTCTACCTGTTCATTTACCAGGGTTCCATTTGAGCTAGCTCCACGTATGAATAGGTGCTGAAATGGCCTTTTCGCTGGAGGCTTCGTTTTACTGGGTCGCCTACAGGGTTTTAAGCCCAAGTCCCGAATACCTGAAAACTTGCGGAGCATTTTGGGGACTCACTTCATCTACCAGGGAGATGGCAACCCATGGCGAAGCTTCCGACGGCCCATGCTCGGCCGGGCTGCGCCGGCGCCGCGCTTGTCCCGTATGCGCGCGGCCATCGCGGAAGCACCCCAACCTGCGGGCTTGCGACGAGGCATTTTCCCCGAGTTGGAGCCTGACCTTCGCGGCTTCGCGGGGTGGTTTGGACCGTTCTCCTTTTTGTTGGGGGTTCCATGTTACTTGGCGGGAGGGGAAGTGGTTGGTTGAAATCTAGGCATGGACCACTTGGACCACTTGGAGGTACCCAAGAACCCGATAACTCAACAACGCTTAAAGCAGACAACCCAGAAATGGTTTTAAGTCTCCTTGGAGAAAAACATTGTGTGTTGCAACCCAACCATATTTTCCTTGGATGTGAAAAACCAAGATACGTCGGTTGTAACCATGGCTATAACTAGTTCAACTGGGGCCAAGGACCCTAGGAACTATGTTTACAACCTATTTACAAAGTTGGTTGAGCATCCAAGCATGGCTTGCCTTCAAGCTTTACGCCAGACGTCAAAGCTGTGCTCATCTCTTCTTCTTGCATGGCCAAGCATACGCGCTGGTGCTGGGTGTGTTCCCGATGGTCGTGCATTGGCACTTCTTCATGCATAGAGTGAGAGAGAGAGAGAGAGAGCTGAGTTCTGTCGTCATATGGGGCCATTGGATTCGAATCAAAACAAGGCAGTCCACACCAGCAAACGCTTGGCCTCTCAATCCCGCTTTCCCTGCAGCTCCTGAGCGCAAGACCGTACAGCCACAAAATCGTGTGAGCCATTATAGTATATGGGCCATCATAAGGGTGTGTCTCACCACTGTGCCTATCACCACGAGGAAGCTGCTGAAGGTGCAAGTCATCAGCCCACGGAAGATCTGATGCAGCAGCGAGTGCTGCGATGTCGCCTCAAGTGAGCCTTCTTCTGGCTCTGATAGGGCTGTGGGTCAAAAATGGGTACCCAAAACGGAACCCTGGTAAATGGAACCAATTACTAGAACCTGCGGTCCCCTGGTGGTGTAATTTTGACCCACACCCATATCAAGGGCTGTAATTGAAGGATGCTCAAACAGTCTGAATCCAGGCATTGAAGCCAGTTCGGGAGGCCGCCAAAACGTCTGCGGGTCATGTATCGCCGGGAACCTTGTGGTTGCCTCGGACCCTAGGCTTCCGAATGACGCATTCCAGTGGCCCCCTTTGCAATTGAAGCGGCCAGGATGACACAGGTCACCACTGCCACCCAGGCGTAGGCAAAGCTTTGACACTCCATGCCGCGCACTCGCTGCAGGCAGCTGGAAGCCGTGGCAGCCACATACCTTCCGATTTCGTCGGGAAAAAACCGCCGGCCGAGTCTTGAAAAGAAGTACATCGCAACATTTCGAACCGGAACAAGGGGCAAAGAAGTAGCCTCGCAATTGGTCTCTTGTTGTGCCGTGATGGTCAAACTAGCCAACATGTGTTCATGGTGAGAAGCAAATGCTACTGAATTCGACCCACGGGGTTGCCCGACGGTTGCACGTGTTAGTGAAAGCTGGACCCTGTTTCGGGTGCAAATCAGGGGCAGGCTTGGTTCTGAAGAGCACACATTCGCTGAACCAATGGGACAGTGTTCACCCTCGCTCCAACAAAGATCCTCTTCGGAACTTTGTTGTTCGGGGGGGAGCCATCTGCTGCCAGTGTCTGCTGGAAGGGAAACCCTTGCTCAATCTGCCATGAGGAAATTCACCGATGTCTTGTGACAGTCAACTACGGAAATCAACCAAGCCCTGCTTGAGTACAGTTGGGGCTCACAGCCCTTGCTTTGCCGTCCTTCCGAACACCAACAAGGATGCACACTTGCTGTGTGATGTAATATGGCCATGGGTCAAAACACCGTACCCCCGGTGAACATCCCAATCCAACCACTAAAATAGGAAGCCTAAAATGGGTGGTTAATAATCACCTATCCCAAAATGGGATCAACCACAACGGTTTTGACCACCACAGCCATAGAGTCATGGCCAACAGGGACTTGGCCATCGCCGGCCGAGACCCGCCGCCCCAAAAAACGCGACTTGGCTTGGGGCGCCCTACCGAGTTGCCACAGCATTGGGATCTCGTCCGCCAGCTGCATGGGGTACCGCAAGCTTGCGTGGAAAAGAATGCCTCAGCCACAAACCGCTCGCCCAATGTGCTGGAAGCAACCTCCATTTGCTGAAGTCCCCCGGAAAAAGACATCTACAGATTCCCTTCAAAACCAACAGGGGAAAAGTAAAACATATTCATTGCAGAAATGGAAGACTCGTTTGTGCGCGGAAGGCAATCCACCCATTGTTCAAGCTGCTATTTACGATTTTCACTTGTTTATTTTTGGCCGCATAAAACAGTGCGCAGGCATTTACATATATATATATATATATTAGCAGTATGAGTCTTAAGTTTTGAATCAAAATGCTACCAATGGCTATGGCCACTTCCATCCAAGCGATGACAACCACGTCGTGCGTTGCCTCCGCAGTGTTGCTCGCAGTGCGACTGCTGACCCCTTTAGCATGTCAAGCGCCGTAGCAACAGTTTGCCGCTTACGGACACGAAGCAGGCTGTGGGTGTGTCCCACTAAAGTTGTGCTTTTCCTTTGGTTGTCCCTTTAAACCCACAAAAAAGGAGGCACGGGTCCTCAAAAAAACCAACCCATATGCAAAGGTGATGCTTTTAAAGCACCATATTGGACAAAAAACCAGCCTGGTGCATGGCCAGGAAGATCATGGGTAACATCATCATCACCAGGCAGCTCATGGTGTTCACCGGCTCAGCAACCCAGTCAAGCAGCTCATAATCCTCCGGCGATTTCGGAAAGATTGGCCAGATGTCCAAAAATCCCTACGTGGATCCATTTAGCTTTATCAAAGGATCCCCCTTTAAACACCAAAAGGAACATTGCTGGTTACAGTACCTACTAGGGTTTGTCTGGGATCCACTAAGATAGCCGCGGAAACAAAGTGGGGCTTGCTCAACCGGCGTCACAGGACCAACACAACGGCTGTGCATTGCTATCCGTCCTTGACTCAGATGCCCAGTGGCCGTGAGACAAAAAAAAGGCATCCTTTTTTGGTTGGTTGAGTTTGAAGGGGAAACCTTCCCCACAAAAAGGCAAAAAGGGCGCCACTGGGCAACAAAGCTAAATTGAGCCAAGTGACTGACTCACACCAGTTGAATTCAGCATCAGGAGGACCCCATCGACCAATTTGGCTGACCTCTTTCTTGCGCAGCTCTTCTGGAATTCTGAGCTGAGTCAGAAGCGAGGGACTGGCAAGCAGCTTCTGGCATAACCCCCAAAACCCCCCCGGTTGACTCTTTCAAGTCATCCTTGGTGTTGTGGTTGCTTTGCTTCTGTGCTTCATCCCATCTCAAGGATCAAGCTGGACTGGTGTGAGCGAAAAGGACTCGATTGTCACTCCAAGACGAAGCTGCTTGATTCTTTGCGACCAAAGCCTCTGGAAGAAGTAGGTAGTGGATGTGAAGCACATCAGCACCGCCAAAACCGCAGTCACGAGCCATGGCTGCATACGGCCGCAGTTAAAGCAAACACACGCGCACACACACACACACAAACAAACATGCACAAACAGGTAAACGTCACAAGCCATGTTGCATGTCGTATCAATAGGCGCATGATCACGCAACGAATTCAAGCTTTCTCACTTTTCTCTTCGTGCATCCTTGACTTTGATGTGGCATCGACACTTTGAGAACACGGCCAGTTGATTGTCAGAACAGCCTCTCTTGCACAACTTCTCTCATTCGAAGCCGTTTGAAAGTGCGCGACATCCCATTCACACCTGCGATTCTCCCGTTCAACGCCCGAATTCCGCGACTTTAGCATGATAACCAGAAACCCTTCCCCTCTCCCATAACCCTCACCTCCCACCTCCCTGCAAGGCAGACGCGCGCCCAGCCCCAACTCGCCTCGAAAGGTCAAACCTTTCCTCGGGGGACACCTTTCAAAACGGATCCAGCGTGGTCCAACTGTGACATCATCTCTCTTCCGATCGAGTGGATCCCAAAAAAAACAAACTCTCTATTTGCCACTAAACTGCTCCAAACCAGCAACAAAGGTGACTCAAGTCCAAACAGAACTCAGCGAGTGAGTCAAGATCATCCGTTCGATTTGTCGCCCCCTGGACAAAATGGGGAACCAGGGAAAATAAATCAAATATTCATTTCAGCAGATAGAAGTAGTATTCCTTCTCCCAACTAAACACCACACCACGAAAACCGACTATAAACCAAGTACCCCCCCCCGCAAAAAAAAAGCGGAAAACTGGGCTGCCCTCAGATCCCCCGCTAAAAGTGACTAGCTTTTGGTGGGTTAAATGGAAACTACCACTAAACACTGAACAGCTAAAAGAAGCTAAGGAACCGGATGGCTGGGAGCCACCAAGGATCGCTGGGCCTCCCTATAAACCAACTAACCCCCCCCCCCACCCCCCCCCAAAAATAAAACACAAACAACGCGGAAAAAAAACAAAAAACACATTGTCTCTTGAGTCTCTTGCGGTTGCCCTTTTGCCCCGACTGGCGCTCCCCGACTGGCGCGCCCCTCAGCTGCCGCAGGCGCAGCAGCATTGGCGCCTCAAAGTCCAGGCGCTCAAAGGCGTCCTGCGCGGAAGTCGACGAGTGCGTGGCGAAAAAAATAATAACGAAACTCAATTGATTTGGAGTGGATTGGTGATTCTGGACCCGGATTGAATGACCATGTTAGATTTTGGGTAGCCCAAGAATGATAGATCGCCCATAACCTTCCTGCCCAAATTAATTACGTTTCACGTTTCGCCTAGAAGTCATGGCGTTCCTTTTTGGACTGTGTACTTCATAATTAGAGCTAGGGCCAGTTATAGACTGTAGTTTTTTATTGTTTGCTTCGTAAAAATGTAAAATGCATCCTAAGTCTGCCCCAACCAAGTACGTTTCACCCAGAAGACTTGCTATTTCTTTCCTGGTTGTTTTCTTTAGGGAAACTACGTACAAAGGCGCAATGCCCCGTTAAGTAGAGATCCGATAGAGGCGCAAAGTAAGAATTGCCGAGATAAAAAAGCGAACTCGAAATTCGTAGCACGTGTCAGCTTTGTCACATGTCCGGACAGTCCGAAAGGCTGAAGCAGCTAGTGGTTACTGTTGACTTCCCCTTGAACCGATCGCCACTTGTTGAGGCTCCTTCAAAGGGAAATGGCTCGGAAATCCAGTACTTCATGTTTGGACTGAGTATATGGGGTGTGTCATTTCCCCCCCCCTACCCCAAATGCTACAAAGCCTTTCCTCATCCTCTTATGGGTGTTATTTTTTGGGGACTCCTCCCTCCCCCCCCTCCTCCCTCCTCCCTCCTCCCCCCCCCCAGCGCCTGCAGCGCATGGGCCTCTTGCCCAGAGAGGCCCAGGGATGGCACGAAGGCCTCCAGCTCGCTGCAGAGGCCCTGGTGCTTGAAGCGGAAGGACGCGAAGGCGCTGCACCTCAGATGCACCAAGCGGCGCGCGAGCGTGGGCTGTGAGCTTAAATATGCCCACATGCATGAATGAAGGAAGGAAGAAAGAAAGGAAGGAAGCAAGGAAGGAAGGAAGGAAGGAATGTATCTATCTATCTATCTATCTATGTATGTATGTATGTATGTATGTATGTAAGTAGGTAGGTAAGTAGGTAAGTAGGTAAGTAGGGAAGTAGGGAAGTAGGTAAGTAGGTAAGTAGGTAGGTAGGTAGGTAGGGAGGTAGGGAGGTAGGGAGGTAGGTAGGTAGGTCTGTATGTATGTATGCATGCATGCATGCATGTATGCATGTGTATATATATATATATTCATTTATGTACATTTATATGCTATATAATACACACTGCTCTGCAATCATTATGCTACTGCTTGTCTCGACAGGGGGCACATGTCTGTTGGTTCTTTGTGCCTGTTTTTTTTCCGTTTGGGCGGAAGCAAAGGTCCAATGAGTACAGATGCGGGTTTGATTATGAACACACCCAACATGTCTTCAGCCAACAGGCAGCTTCGGCGCGCTAGTCCTCGTGTGTTCGTGGTTTTTGTGTTGGCCCTGGGCCCCTTTTTGAGGACACAAACACACACACACACACACACACACACACACACACACACACACACGTCATCAGCCCTGGCCCTCGTCCGCCGCTCTTCCGCATCTCTTCCGCGTCATGCCAGGTAAGCCCGAAAGTTTTGAGTACAAAACCGAATACGTGGGCTCTACCACGACCCGAAAACATGAACATCATGAACACAATCATACACATAAAAGCAAAACACAAGCGAATATCATGTAATCATGTGCTGAATTGTGTGCGCCCGCCAACGCAAGTTATATTCTCAGTCGCTCGTTCAAGCGCCTTGACATTTTCTCGGATTCCTGTCTACCATGTCCTTACAGAACTCCTGGTAGCTCCTTAGCTACCTCTTCAAAAACAAGTTTGGATACCCCCAGCTCCCTTCCGGCTCCCTTCCAACCAGCTAATTAGCTTGTCTTCCCTAGCTCCCTTCCGGCTCCTTCCAACCAGCTGGCTAATTAGTTGCCTGTTTTCCTTTCTTTCCTATTTCGGGTGCCAAGTGGCACGTCCACGGCGTCTCTGGCGCTCATGAACTTCACGTTCCGCGCCAAGATGGGCGCCGCGTGCGCGAAGAGCTGCTGGTGGTCGAGGTCGGCCTCCGCGGCGGCGGTGACCAAAGTCTTCCAGGCGGACCACGGCACCGTCTCCCGGGCGCGCCAGGGGTTCAAGGCCTCCTCTGCGACTCCTCGCACAAAGTCCTCGGCACCTGGATAAATTAAATCAAAAAAAACACGGGGCGCAGGGGCAAAAAGGCGAAACGGGCAGAACAAGAGTTGGGCCGGTCATTCTTATTGTGAGAGAACCGTTTTGTCGGTGGTCTTAAAACACAAGAGTTGGACCTGCCTTTCTTCTCTTGAGGGATGCCTATTTTGGTGAGGAACACCGAAATCCAGTTTGGGGGGGGCCCCTAAAAAGACACACCCAGTCGGGCCCAAACCCCGAGTTCCGCCACAGAACGGCTTGATGCTTCCCCCCCCAACCTGGCAACCCTGCGCCGGCAGAGCAGAAGTAGCTGAGCACTGAGGCCAGCCTTGCGTGGTATGGGGGGCAAGGGCGTGCGCACCGTCCCTACAGCAATGACACTGGGCAAGGTTGTTAGCTCTTGGGGCCTTTGATTTCTGCAGGTGGGCCAAGTGAAAAGGGCCACCAAACAAGGTCCACCTTTTACGAGCCTTTCTGCTACACGTGGGCCAAGGGGAAAATCAAAAGGTCAACCTGGAGTCTCCATGACCCTGAAAAATGGGGTCATTCACCAAACTCATTGGGGTCCATTGACCCATCTTAGGGTCAGAAGGAGACTCCAGGAACTAAAAAGGTTGAACTCGGGGCCTTTGACTTCTACAAGTGGCCGTGGCTCAAAATTAAACAGGAGGGGTTACGCAAGTTTGGTCCATGTTTCCACTTGCCAGGGTTCCATTTTGGGCACCGGTTTTTTGAGCCACGGCCAAGTGGGCCAAGGGAAAACCAGACGTGTCAAGCCGGTGACTTCAGAACCGAGCAGCTCAAAGGTGTTCAGGCTGCGGGCGCTCTCGGTGACGTGGCTCTGGCAGAAGGAGGACAGCACTCGGCTGGGGAAGTCCACCCTTTGGAAGGCCAGGCAGACCTGCCCGGCTACGTTGTTTGTTTTTTGTTGCTTTTGTTGTTGCTTTTGGTAGCTGTGTTTTTGTTGTTTTTGTTGTTGTTTTTGGTAGCTGTGTTTCTGTTGTTGTTGTTTTTGGTGGCTGTGTTTTTGTTGGTTTTGTTGTTGCTTTTGGTAGCTGTGTTTTTGTTGTTTTAGTTGTTGTTTTTGGTAGCTGTGGGTTTGTTGCTTTTGTTGTTGTTTTTGGTAGCTGTGGGTGTGTTGCTTTTGTTGTTGTTTTTGGTAGCTGTGTTTTGTTGGTTTTGTTGTTGTTTTTGGTAGCTGTATTTTTGTTGTTTTTGTTCTTGTTTTTGGTAGCTGTGTTTTTGTTGCTTTTGTTGTTGCTTTTGGTAGCTGTGTTTTGTTGGTTTTGTTGTTGTTTTTGCTAGCTGTGTTTTTGTTGTTTTTGTTGTTGTTTTTGGTAGCTGTGTTTTTGTTGCTTGTGTTGTTGTTTTTGGTAGCTGTGTTTGTGGTTCTTTTGTTGTTGCTTTTGGTAGCTGTGTTTTGTTGTTTTTGTTGTTGTTTTTGGTAGCTGTGTTTCTGTTGCTGTTGTTGTTGTTGTTGTTGTTGTTGTTGTTGTTGTTGTTGTTGTTGTTGTTGTGGTTGTTGTTGTTGTTGTTGTTGTTGTTGTTGTTGTTGTTGTTGTTGTTGTTGGTTTTTGGTAGCTGTGTTTCTGTTGTTGTTGTTGTTTTTGGTAGCTGTGGGTTTGTTGCGTTTGTTGTTGTTTTTGGTAGCTGTATTTTGTTGGTTTTGTTGTTGTTACATTGTTTTTGGTAGCTGTGTGTTTGTTGTTGTTGTTGTTTTTGGTAGCTGTGTTTTTGTTGCTTGTGTTGTTGTTTTTGGTAGCTGTGTTTGTGTTGCTTGTGTTGTTGTTTTTGGTAGCTGTGTTTTTTTGTTGTTTTTGCTGTTGTCTTTGGTAGCTGTGTTTTTTGTTGTTTTTGTTGTTGCTTGTGGTAGCTGTGTTTTGTTGCTTGTGTTGTTGTTTTTGGTAGCTGTGTTTTTGTTGCTTGTGTTGTTGTTTTTTGGTAGCTGTGTTGTTGTTGTTTTTGTTGTTGTTTTTGGTAGCTGTGCTTTGTTGCTTTTGTTGTTGTTTTTGGTAGCTGTGTTTTGTTGTTTTTGTTGTTGTTTTTGGTAGCTGTGTTTTTGTTGCTTGTGTTGTTGTCTTTGGTAGCTGTGTTTTTTGTTGTTTTTGTTGTTGTTTGTGGTAGCTGTGTTTGTGTTGCTTGTGTTGTTGTTTTTGGTAGCTGTGTTTGTTGCTTGTGTTGTTGTTTTTTGGTAGCTGTGTTTTTGTTGCTAGTGTTGTTGTTTTTGGTAGCTGCGTTGTTGCTCTTGTTTTTTGTTGCTCTTGTTTCTTGTTTTCGGTTTGACCCGCCCCATCTTAATCAACACCAGCTTATTAATAGGGTGTGTGTGTGTTGGGTTTAGTGGGGGAATCATAGCAAAACACCCCGGGTCAATAAACTGGGGTCGATTCATACGGGGTCAGCATTGCCGGGGTGGCTCCTCTTTTTTGGAGGGACCCCTTTTTGGTTGGTGTTCAAGGGAAACCAACAAGGAAAACCGCGTCTTGCGGGGCCCCGGCGGCCGCCTTTGCTTTCCAGAAGCGAGCTGTCCCTTGAATGGCGTCGGCATTCTATTGACAGCCAGGACCAAAGGGATGGGCCACTACCAGGCAACGGCTTCAATTCAAATTTCCGTGTCATGTAAGCCTCACAAACATCTGCCTCTTGATGAACTCATGAAACACAACACAACACATCCGCCTATATGATCCAAACATAAATCGATGTTCAAGGCAAAATCTGTACGATCTCTGGGTCCATGGACCAAGATCTAAAAGACCAAGGAGAATTCATGCAAGGCCGGCGCATGCTTGTGTGTGCGTCTCTCCCAGAAATGCATTAATGTAGTGATGTCTTCTGAAACTCACCACACCAGACCGCAGCCAGTGGAACTTCACAAGAGCCTTGGAAAGGAATCTAGTACACAAAAATTCGCAACAGCCTCAAACAACAAGGGCTTTTGCCATTTATGACTGTTAGCTTCACTGAATCCCCGCTCACATGATATCCAGCAACCAAAAGGTCCCAAGCCACAGTTCATGTGCGTCCCCAAATATGTGTCTTACTTCAGGAATCGGGCCCCGAACATCGCGCAACGGCTTGGTCACAAAGCTGCTCCTGCAACCAACCAATGAGGAGACAAACGTGCAACCGCACCGTTCAGCCCGCCCATGAGCGGCTCACCATTGCTCTCTCTTCCAAGGTCAGCCGTCCCAGTCTTACCCCTGAGAGGTTTCGGGCCAAGACTATTCCTTTCCCTTCAAAACCCGAGAATGGCGTGGAAAGGTTCCCTTCAAAGAATCGGCTTCGTTGTTCCTTTTAAGGTTTCCCTACCAAGTTTTCCTGTTGTTCTCCCTACCAACAGAAGGGGCTCCCCCTCCCCCCCCAAAAAAAAAAAAAAATGGAAAAAAAGAAAACGGAGAAGAAAACAAAAACAAACGACACTGCCGGCTTTTTCAGCCACACGCCGTTTCCACTTGACTCGCCTCGCGACCAGAAACTCGACTCGCGACTCGCCTGCGCCAGCTCCCGGCCCTGCAACTGCTCCTCCGCGGCCACGCGCTGGGCGGCCTCTCCGCCGAAACGGATAAGGCCGTTGAGGTCGGACCCAAAAATGGCGCAACGGTGAAGACCTTTTTGGAAAGCCATGGCAAAATCGTAAAAACCACGACACATACGCTGTTGTGTTTCCTCTTCTTTCTTGTTTGTTTCTGTGTGTGTGGTGTGTGTGTGTGTGTTCCCTCTTGGTTTCCTGATTTTTTTTTCCGGTTGGTTGTCCTTTGGTCTTCTTTTGGGGATCCCATTTCTTGGAGGTTTTAGAGGGAAACCCAAAGAAAACCGTTGCGCACTGGTGGGTTTGGTCCGATTCCACATGGGTATGGGTGGCGGTTTCTTGTTTGGTGTCTCTTGAAAACCACAAAGGGGTACCCTCAAAAAACACACTCCCACATGGGTGTCTTTTTAGGGAACCCCAAATGGCACTTGTGTCCTTTGTTTTCCCTTTTTAACCAAACAAAGCAAAGTGTCCAAAAATGATACACCCCCATGGCGCATAAAACCAGCTTGGAATGGGGTGAACAGCCACCCGCAGTTTCCTTTGCACCAACACTCTCTGTCCTGGCAAAGCAGTTGTACAATGATGCGGATGTAAAAAACAAATAGTCATGTCCGTACAGAACTCCTGGTAGCTCCTTAGCTCCCTCTTCAAAAGCAAATTGGAATCCCGCAGCTCCCTTCCGGCTGCCTCCCCACCAGCTAGCCGACCGAGATCAGAGCATCAATCGCAGCACCTGCTCCAGCTCGGGGAGGGGATGGGGGAAGAGAGGGAGCTTTGCTCCCCTCCCCCCCTTTCCAGGCCCCATGAAACTCTCACCGGGGAAGCCCAAGTTAGCTCTTGTTAAGCTCGCCTCCCCTCCCCCCCCCCAAAGCCCATAAAATGTCCGCCGCTCCTGGCGCCAGAAGTGGGCGTCCCGCCACGGAAAGAGCGCCGCGCGGCGCACGGCGCGCACCAAAGGCTCCTGGGAGTCGGACCCGAGGCGACTCGCGGCAGAGTCGGAGGGCTTGGCGGTCGCATGGCGGTGGTTGTCAAAACCGTTTTGGGATCCCATTTTGGTTGGTAGGTGAATTCGCCACCCATTTTAGAACCTTTTTTAGTGGTTGGATTGGGATGTTTACTGGGGGTACGATTTGGCTTTTGACCCATGTCCAAATCGGTTTGCCTCGCTTTTTGGCGGTGAGCCGAATCGCTTTGGTGGTCTTCCCTCCACAGCTTCCCTCCAATTTGTTTGGAGCCCGGTGTGGGGGGGTTAACCGGTGTGGGTGTCCCCATTTACCCTCTGCAAGAAGTTCAAATCCCAAACTACCCGATCAGTGTTGCCAAGTTGCCAAGTCGAAAACAGGGAGGTGACTTGGAAGTGGGAGCCTGTGTGCAAACTTCACGCGAACGTTTTACTACCATGGCTTGAAAACCTACCTCAACAAATTTATTATGGAGCTTGGGACGGGTCGATCTCTTCCGCCACCAAACCCCAAAGTATGTTTGCCGCCACTGAAGACTGACGCTTCATGCTTCAGAGAGTCCGGGGCTAATTTCCATTCTAGTCTTCTCCATAGGGAAAATGGAACCATGAATGACATTCCAGGGGTCGACATCACATTCCCCCCCATTCACTTTCACCCCCTTCCCCCCCCCCTTTGCGAACGCACATGGCCTTTTGGCAGCTTTGCCCAAAGCCCAAAGCATGAAACATGCGGTGGAAAGTGAGCTTGAGTCCGAGCTGGCCGGTTCCTCATGAGAGATTGCGGAGTCAAAGCGTGCCAATTTATTCCCCAGATAGCTGAAAGCTTCAGGGGTTCTAACTTCTAATAAAGAAGGGAAAGTGATTTGCGAGATTGACGGCTGGGTGCTAGGGGGCATGCAGTTTGGGGTTTTGGTGTAGGTGCTGTTTAGGGTGCTGTTTGAGCTGCTGGTGATGGTGCGGGCGCAGTTTATTTGGATTAATGGCAGGGTGCTAGGGGGTGCAGGTGACGGTGCGGGCACACTTTTGCAAGATCGACGGTAGGGTGCTAGGGGGCATGCAGTCTGGGGTGCTGGTGACGGTGCGAGTACATATTTGCGAGATTGACGGCCGGGTGGTTTGGGAGTGCCGTTTGGGGGTGCTGTTCGGGGTGATGGTGCGGATGGTGTTGAGGGGCTGGTGACGAGCGTGGCGTTTTGTGAGATTGACGGCTGGTGCAGGTGCTGTTTTTGGGGGCCTGGTCACGGCCAGGGGTGTTGTTGCGAGATTGACGGCAGGGTGCTAGGGGACATGCAATTTGGGGATTCTTGTGCAGGTGCTACAATATTTTTGGGATGCTGTTTGGTGTTGGTTGAGGTGCTCTTCGGGCAGTGCTGTTAGTGCTGGCGTACTATCGTTGGCACACGTTTCGCTATCTGGGGTCTATGTTTCTTTTTCATAAACAAAACAACAACTTGCTGTAGAATGTCCCACAAATTCTCGCGGAACCTGACGGGGGGTCGGGGAAAGAAACTTTCCGGTTAAAGGGACCCCTGTTACTTTGTGAGAGGGTACTGCAAGACAGAACCTGATCCACAACCACTCTGGTTCCACAACAGGGCAAAGAGTGTTACCGAGTTCTGGCCAGAAGGCCCCATGAAAGGGAACATGGCCTTTGGTCGAACTCCTCCCAATTCCATTTTGAAGCGACCCGGGTGGGGCCCGTACCCCCGGTGAACATCCCAATCCCCACTAAAATAGGAAGCCTAAAATGGGTGGTAAATTCACCTACCAACCAACATGGTAATTACCATTGGTTTTGACAACCACTGCCACCTTTTTAAGGGACACCGGAAAACCCCGCGCTGAAGCGACCCGGGTGGGTGATCTTTTTCAGGGAAACCACCGGAAACCCCCGCGCTTGCCCCCCCGAGACTCTCGCCCAATCCGCCAAGGCGCGCCCCGCAGCTTCGCGAGCTCCGTGTAGGGCGGCAGACACCTGGGCGCCTTCTCGAACAAGTGGAGCTGCACAAAGCGCTCCATGCGGCGGAAGGGGTGTCGAGTCTCTCTGTTTCTTTGTTGTGTTGTTTGTTTTTCTTTTTTTCGGGGGGGGGGGGGGGCGCCAACCTTTTGGTGAAACGGCTCTGGTTTCCTTCTTTGGCTTCCCTTCAAAAGCCACAAAAAAGGTTACCCTCAAGATAAGACAGCCCGTTTTGCTTGGGTTTCAGGGGAAACTAAAAGAACACCTACTATTTCCTTGGGGTTCCATGTAAAAGACAAACCCATGTCCCCAAAAGGTGACATGAAGGTGTCAAAATAGGGATGTGTAGCTGAGGTTTGTGTTTTATTGCACATGAATAACACACGTGCATATTTGCTTGAGTTCTAGGGCTGCTCTCGTTGCCTTCGCCAACTGTTCCTTTTCTTTGCTCCTTTCAGTTGACAGCCATAACTTCTCCCGGCATACATCTTTGACAAGGCCGTACATGCAAAGCCAGAGAGCAGACATGCATCTTATGTGCACATCCGACTGAAGCAACCATTGTGCAAGTCTAAACTTGGATAACTGTGGTCTGGCAATCAGTGCATCTTGAGCTTTCCATGACGGGGGCGATTCCGCACATGCAGCAGTGTATCACATCGCGCTCTCGCAAACACGGCTGAGGTCCATTGTGACTGAGTGGCAAATGTGCTTGCAGTTGGCTTGAACAACATAAAGCAACAGCTCTTGAGGCAAGATGGCCTTATCAGTCCCATGTGCCTCCCCAAGAACGGCTGATGATGCCTCACCTCAAGCAATGCCTGCATTGCACTGGCATGAGCAAACCTAAAGGTGGCACATGGTTGAAAAGTTGTTTTTCAGGCAACAAGTCTGATTGAGCTCTCAACAAAACACAAACGATCTCAACAAAACCTGCTCAACGTCAATATCGTTCAGTCACAAATAGCGCGGGGCACGCGGCAGCAATGGGCCTTGGCCGAGCAGTGCAATCAGTCAATCTCTGTACTCTATTATCAATCCGTTGCTTGATCTCTCTTGGCCAAGATATACACATTTGGAGGGTGCAAGTGCTGATTCAGCGCAATGTTTTAGGATGCCTGACTCAATGCATCAAACGCAGAGATAGGCAGAGCTGCCCAAATGCTGCGCGCATTGGGGCTAGCCCTTGACACAAAAGACCCTCCTCTCATTGGAGGTTTGCTAAACCAGATGCAGCTGTACACTGCTCACAGCTTCGCACGGAAAGGGACGCTTCTGTCATGATCATACAGCTCGATTTGGTACAGCGGAGACTGCTTCCTGCACCCCGTGCTGAGCAGGCGTTGACCCTTCCGCTGCTCTTCTTCACAAGACAGCTTTTGCATCCTTTCCCGAAGGATTTCCCTATCAACCAAATCCCCCAGCCCCCCAAGTCAGCAAGCACCTCGACTTCTTCCACTTGCCTCCAATTTCCAGTGCCTCCAGTTACTACTATAGCAGGTAACCTTCGGCATCCTTACCAGGTCTTACGTGATGGTTTCCCCTGGTTGCCTAGAGGTACCTGGGAAGCACTGGGATTCATCTGCATCCGGAAAAAGCAAAGCGCTCCTCTGAAAGGAGAGCTCCAATCGGCCCGCCGTCCTCCAGTGCACCTGCGGAGTGGCCAAGCAAACCATCCCTTGTTCCTTCCTCCCCTGTTCTCAGTTGAGTCAGAATCATAACTAAAATGGTTTACCCAGAACCATGTAAAGAATTAAGAAGGTGGCCGCAACTATTTATGGTTGGGATTGGCCCTTAGTAACCTTCATCTACCCGGGTTTTGATTGCCAGTTGGGTTTCTTGAAATGGGTGTGGGTCAGTGGGGTTTCTTCACCAACAATGGGTTGCCCTGACAAATGCGAACAAGGACTAAACCCGGTGATCTAATTCTGTCCCATACCCAAATAGGGGTCCAAACAGGTGGTTCCTCTCTTGGCTTGCCTTTCCACCAACCTGGCAAAGAGCACCTGAAAAACATGACAATGACAGATCGAGTTAAGTTAACAATGTGCCAAATATGCGATTCCTGTAAAGGACATTGGACCATGAGTGAGTCCCCCCCCATGTCAAAATGTCCCTCCCAAAAAAGCCATACACTCCTGGATATTGACCAACCCTGTCGATGCATGCTCCTCGTCCGGTCCGTCTGCCCAACGCAAATTCCGTGTCCTGGGCGGGGGTTCAAACAATTGCTCGCAGCATTTTGCATCAGCCATGGTTGAAACAAATCCCGAACATGGGAACCTGACTGAGAGTTCCTAGAAGACTATGTTTCTTTAAAAGGACCCTTTGGACGGTTCCACATGGACAAAAGGGACATACCCTCATCCGTTTTTTGCCTGCGGCGCATGTCACGGTCGGATGGCAAGAGTTGCCCAGTCCAACTCGAACAAGCCTCTTGCTCCAAACGCACAGTTGAAGGCCAAACACACCGAAAGTCTGAGCAGCCCGCCCCACAAACGCAGCTGGCAGGAAACTATCTTGAGAGCCTGCGACGGAACTGCGCAGCTTCGAATGATTTCAGCACTTCAACCTTCTCTCGTCCATTTTCTCGGCCATCTGGCTGTCGGTCAAAAATAGGTGCCCAAAATGGAACCCTGGTAAGGGGAAACATGGACTAAAGTCTGCAGCCCCCTGGTGGTTTAATTTTGACCCACAGCCATCTTGGGATATGCCTGTTCACGCGAAAGGGCATACCGTTGAGCTAACACAGTGGTTCTCGGCGGCTCACAGGCCAGCGTTCCATGAGCAGGAACCACCTTGGCCTTTGCATCATCTATGACACAAGTGGCTTGGACATCCTAGGGGAAGCTCGTGAGAAACCGGAGAAAAGAGAGAAAAAGAGAGAGAAAGACACAGAGAGAGAGAGAGAGCGAAACTCTGGGAGCGGAAAAAGAAGAAGAAAAAAAAAACATCACTTGCCAAGGCAACAAATTTGGTCAGGGCCTTTTTGTAAACCAAGCAAATTAAATTATCATCTGCCTCCCAGTCCCCCGTGAAGCTGCATGGCGCGATCCACCACGCGCTGGGTCCTCAATTGCATGGCTGGAAAACGGAATCTACTTATAGGGGCCATCGATTCGGTACGTCAGGTAATCAGCATGTAAAGTTCCACAATGCACCCACCGCTTTGAACACATGGGTGTCTTTTTGTTGAGGGTACCCCTTTTCTGGTGGTTTTCAAGGGACACCAAAAGGACCCTCATCCACCCCCTGTTTTTGGGGGGGTCCGATTCCTACAAAAAGGCGAGCCACCCGCATGTCCCAGAAAGGTCTCCTCTCGTGCAAAGCGCTGGGCTTCGCACATGTTGGGCACCACGGCCTTGACCAGGCCTAAGGCGACGGATGCTCTTGTGATTCTCCCTTTCTTTGGCCTGAAGGTGGTTGAACCCCAAACTTACCCCTTAGAACTCCAAGCCCTGGGGAAGTTAATCTTTTACAGACATATAGCCCATGTTACCCAAAAAGTTGAAAAGTTGTGTTTTTTAAGAGGGAAGCAAATGGCAGGGATTTCGTGGCTAGGAGCATGCTTCAAGGCTTAGGAGACTTCCTGTTCTTGGCTAGCGAATGTGCTGAACTTTTCGCACTGAGGCTCAGGCTCAGCAGTTGCCGGGTGTAATGGTCCGTATTGCCCAGCCTGTGCCAAGGATGCCGGTCGAACATGGAGTCCGCGGCGCTCGCTTTGGACCGCATTTCGGGCGTTGCTCCTTGAGTGCTGAGCGTTCCGAGCATGCTGAGCACGCTGAATCCTGCCTGTCCATTCTGTCAGCTGCCTCCCGCACCAGAAGCCGCGCCTGTAGCCAGCATGGGAGAGCTGGTGTCAAATAGAAACCGCAGTCTGGCGCTAGGCAAGTCTTCAGATTGACAAGAAAATCCCAAGCAAGAACATGCTGCCATATATTCGGTCAAGTTCGGAAACACTCCATGTGCATGTCTGCCTTGTCCAGAGTGCCAAGCAAGTCGAGAAGTTTCAAGTGCCTGGCCTGGTCAATTTCAGCTCGGCATTCAGCAACTTGTTGCACCTGATACGCGAGCTGAGCTCAGCCCTGTCCATATGGTGTCCCTTTAAAGCCCCAAAACAACGGGTACCCTCAAAAAAAGACTGACCCAGATTGTTTGTCGTAAAAGATCTCCTCTCAGATTCCTTCTGGCAACTGTATCGGTGTCCAAGGCTGGCGGGCACTGGGCACAGAACAGGTTCTGCTGCACGAGAAGCTGGCTGCGTCACGCGCCGTTGCATCACTTCGCATAGCGAGTTGCCAAGGATAGCAGCTAGGCATTGAACATGGGATGCACGCACGCAAGCCGGACATAGGAGGCACGAAGGGGCTCGTCGGAACTTGCCAGCAAAACTTCTGCTAAATACTTTCCAAGATCTGCGACTATATGCTTTACCCCATGGGAATCAGACTCAGCTGGGGCAATCAGACTCACCGGACCCTGCACCAAGCTCCGAACTCGAAGGAAGTGCTCAAAGCGCAAAGCGTGCCGAGTAAGTGGCTGCAAGAACCATGGAGTTATAACCCACAAAAGCCGTGGTTTTTTGAGTCTCCGTTCAGTGGATTACTAACCACTTAGAGGTCCCCTGCCTCGATCGCCCCATTTGCATCGAACTTGACATCGGCCGAGCTGCAACGCTTCCCATCTCTGCCAGCTGCTGACCAAAGGCTGTGCGGCTGGCCGCACGCCCTCGGTTGTGCTGATAGACTTCATGGGGACAACAGCCAAGTGGGTGTGGGTCAAAAGGGTTTCCCGAAATGTGGGGCAAAAATAGGTACCCAAAAATGAGCTACCCTGAAAAAGGGAGTTCGTGGACTAAGATCTGCCGCCCAACTCCTGGTGGTTTTATTTTGGCCCATACCCAAATCTGGTCGTTCCAGAACTACTGTTCAGCCATGTCTTTTGGGATAGACTTCGCGAGCTGAATCGCAACAAAAGCAAAAACTAACAACACAGCAATCTGCGACAAACATCTGAGCCCCTTTCCCTGTGTGACTCTGAAGGTGTTGTCTCCCTCGCGCTCTCTGACTTTCTGAGTGCACTGCTACACATGTGGCTAAGGGCACGCTCAGCCTCACGGGTGCCCAATCAAACGCCTCAAGCTGGAAACACGAAATGCTTGCGCCGGCGAGACTCAGAAGCGCTACTTGGGGCATTGTACGTCAGGTAAGTGGTTAGTAAGCCTGGTGGGATACCCCACTGCACGGAGACTGATAAGTGGGTTAGAATGCTAAATTCAGGTGCTGTTAGACAACTACATTCAGTACAAGCAGGTAAAGCTAACTCCCTTACTAACCACAGAATTACTACAGCTACAATGCCCCAAGTACCAGCGAACATGCGTTGCTGTTTCCCAAACTCGATCAGCTGGGTTCCGTGCCTGTCCGATCATTCGCATGCAGTGGTGTATGCCTAAGCTGCTCTGACCAGGCGCTCTCTCACTCGTGTTTTCACCCAAATCCGAATCTGGTTGCCCGAATGACAATTCGACTTGGCGGGTGTGCGCTTTGATCTATTGAACAGCTCACATTGAGCTAAAACCAAGAAACAACTAGCAAGAAGAACCGCCTGGGCAATAGGTAGTTTCTGACCAAAGAAAAATTCGGCGTGGACAAGCGAACTCGTGGCAAGATATGTTACTCCTGAATCTGATGCCATCACATCGACTTCTATAAGGGTCTTTGGGTAAGCATCTTGAGCCCTGAAAACGGCCTTGTTTGAGGTCCAAAACCTTCAAATGGAGGTCCTAACCCCTTTGGAGGGACCAAACTCAACTCGTCCTTAAAGCTGACTTTGAAACATCACATTCTACTAAGGGTCTTTGGAACAACCAGGAATTGGACCGCAGGATTTAGTCCATGATTCCATTTTCCAAACGGGCGACCCATTTTGAGGTTGCCCCATTTTGACCACCACAGCCAAACCACCCCTGGCCAGTACTTAAAGGGCGATCAGGTACTTAGTAACTTAGTAAGTGGTTAGTAAGCCTGGTTCTAACCCACCCATGACTTTTGTGGGTTGTCTCACCATGCTTACTAGCCACTTACCTGACGTACCCTGCCTCGATCGCCCCAAGTACCCGCTGCAGCCGAAGCTACGCCCGGGGCCCAGCCGCAGCTGGGCGATCTCGAAGCCGCGGCCCTGCAAGCGAGGAAAACACGAGACGTGCGTCGGGTGTCGTTTGTGGCCGTTGCCGGCGTCAGGTGAGTAGGTTATGACCAATATATATATATATATATGTATAAAATGCTGGGTTTGTTTTCTTAGATTATGACAAGGGTTTGTTGGGGGTGGTTTTCTTAGAGCCATGGTAATAGGAAGGGTTTGTTGGGGTTGTTTGTCTTAAAGCCATGGATAGAACAAGGGCTTGTTGGGGGTGGTTTTCGTAGAGCCATGGTAATAGCGAAGTCCCTAAGTTGGTTGAACATCCAAGTGGGGTCCCGGGGTCTTGCAGGGAACGCATTGGCTTCGGTTTCCAATGCTGGTCTCTTTGCAAAACACACACACACACACAAAAAGGTACCCTCAAAAAGGACACACCCGAATGGCGCAACGGGTGTCCTTTTGGTTTTCATGCACCACAAAATAAGGCAACAGCCCTGAACTCCCCTCAAACCTTCCGGAACTGAAAGGTCTGCCCCGAATCACACCAGAGACGTGCGCAAAGACCCCAAGCTTTCAGCTGTGCGGAAAAAAACAAAAACAACCACCCACCCAATGCACCCAACCAACGCACCAACCAACCAACCAACCAACCAACCAACCAACCAACCAACCAACCAACCAACCAACCAACCAACCAACCAACCAACCAACCAACCAACCAAACCAACCAACCAACCAAACCCAGGCCTGCCAAAGCCTGTGCCAGGGCTGGGCAAAAAAAACACTTTGCTTCAGCTGTTGGGGGAGTGGGGAAGCACAAAGGATACCAACTCCACCAAAAAAGGCACCATCTTGGTATGTGGCAAAGTAGGGGGGTGCCCAAAAATATTGGTGGCTTCCGTTTTGGTTCTCCCTTTGAACCCACCTGCAAAGGGCGCCCTCAAAAAAAACACCCGCATATTCTGATATTCTCTGGTGTGGGTCGTTTTGCGGCAGAACGTACAAGGACACTCTATATCTGATGTGGTCATCGCAAACTGTATCTTAAGGGGGAGGGGGGTGGGGGGATGGGGGGGTCCCCCAATTCCATTTGTTCAGTCTTCCCCATAAAAGGGCACATGGAATTCCGGGTCTCACCTCCCGCCCCCAATATACCCTCGCAAGGCTCGCGCGCACGCCTCTCCCCAAAGCATGTTGCTGATCGGCACCCGGACATCCTGGACAGCGGCAAGTTACACCTTGGTTGTTGTTCGGAAGTGCGAGCCTGATTTGCAAAAAATGTGAAAGTGATATTCAACGAATAATCATTATGTGTGTATGTGTGTGTGTGCGCGTACATGTTAATGACGATTAAAAATCCATCCGTACGTCATCCTCCACCGCAATAATAATCCTCAATTTATAGAATGTTGTCACCCTTAGGAGATCCTTTGAGGAAGCCCAGTTTCTATGATGATCTTCCGTCCACAACTCCTCGGGAAAGAAGACTCGCACGCATACAACAATATGCTTGCATTGATATGCATTGCATGTTGTCTATCAGTCTAACCAATTGTTTGATGTAACATTTAATCAATCGTTAACTGGTTCATTTGTTGTGTTGCATTTTTTTCGTGCATTTGCTTCTCCTTTCATCCATTCATGGTTTGATTGATTCGGCGGTTGACTGAATCTCCTGTTCCGGGAATTGACATTATCTTCGCGAACAAAATTAGCTCTTTTGCAAGCTTGCAAGCTTCATTGCGCAGTTTCGCAGGGCAATCCGCCTTGACGATCTTGAAGAGAGGGCCACGCCATACGGTAGTCAGTACTTCGGCATGTGGGGAGGATGCTGGCAGCAAAAACAACACTATGGACTGTCGCAAAAACAAGAAGCAATTATTTTGCACCAACTTTTGGCATCAATGTGGCTTGCAAGCCTGACTTGGGAGCGAAGCACCAGCGACCTGTATCGACAAACCCTGGATTGGTTCTCTGGTCTTCGTGGCTACAGCTTTTCACGCCTTCGTGGTATCATGTCAGCTTCCCTCCAATAGGTGGTTTGGCTTGGTGGTTTGGTGGCTAAGGAGGGGGTTCCCAGTTACCCCACGCGAGATTTTCGAGACCAAAATTCAAATCCAAATCCAAAGCACCAATCCAAGCCACCAAGGGTTGCCAATCCAAACTCCCAAAGCCACCAATAGTCACGAAAAGTTTCAGGAACCAGATGGCGATCGGCGATCGGGGGCACCGCCCAACGATTGGTGAGACCCCAACGATTCATCCGCGAGCTGCGAAACTTAGCTTCGGACGAAATGAGCCCTTGCCACAAGGACCCTTTCGGGTTGTTTGGACATCCCTCTTTGTGGCGTTAAAGGGAGACCAAAGGGAAACCGCTACGCCATTTTGGCGGGCCCCCACCCAAAAACAGACACACCAATCCAAATGCGGTGGCTGGAGGTGGTTGAATCGATTGCGAACTCCACTTGTGTTCCCCAAAACTCATCCCCAAAAGCTCGCCTGTTTTTCCCCTCACATGCTGGCCTTTCAGAAGGTCCCTCAACCTGCGGTGCTTGGAATTTCCGAGTCGTGTTCCCCAAACCTAAACACCCGGGCTTTGCCCAGTGCCCCGGTTTAGCCCGTGCGAAACGAAAACGTCGGAAGTGTCCTCGAACAAAATCTCCATGTGGCCCTTGGGGCAGTCGTCATCCCCAAAGGTCTCCATGGGACGTACCAACGTGATCCCCGGCGTGTCCTCAAACCCGCGACACCCGCGAAACCGCCGCAGCGACCCCCGAAATGCGGGCTCGTCTTATTTTAGGGACCCAGACAAAAAGCCGTGGTTTCCTTTTGGGCTCCCTTTTAAAACCATCCAACAACGGGTGCCCTCAAATAGCATATTCAAGTTTGCTTGCAATACTCGCAATGAATGACAAGGAATTGAGGGCCACCAGCTTGCTGCACTTCGGCAATGCATGATATTTGTCATGTCAACGTTGGAGAATGCGATTGCGAACATCGTAAATCTCTCGAGTCTGTCTTTCCTTTCTGCTGAAGTCTCCAGAAAAAGAGCTGCAGTGATGTTCTATCACAGCAAAGGTGGCATCCAAACTCTTATTCAAACAAATATCGTCCTCGCAAGCCAAAGACCATATAAAGGTGGCATCCAAACTCTGATTGAAAAGCATATCCTCCTAGCCAAAGTGATGTTTTGATGGCCAGCCCAAAGCTCTTGAGATCGAAAGTCGTTCCTGGACCAAACATTTTCCGACTGAAGACTATACAAATGGAATAGGTGTTCGTCCTTGGTTCCCTTTATCAGGGCTTCCATTTTGGGGTTACCCAAAATGAGGATGGACGCAAACTCGCTTTCACACCGTTCAGAAACCCAACGGTTTCTAATTCGATTCCCCTACGTAGCTACCAAGCAACGGTATGGCTTCAACCTGTCTTTGTCCCAATGCGCTTGTTCAAGTCCCACAACGAGCTGAGGCAGCGGCGGTTGGCACCAGGATCTGCGACTGCGAGCGGTATGTTGCTGTGTCCTTGGACCCTGTCCTGGCGTGGCTCAACATGACCGCAGTGTCACCATGGCATACGGCTCAAGGCGCCTTCCCATCAAGATCATAATCTTGCAGTCGACGTTCCTTAGCTAGCAAGGCCTTCAGTGGTGATTCTGTTCACCGCAGTTTAGCTTACCGAACAAAAGTTGAATAAAGCCAAGATGCCCTGCCCCTGTGATCCAATGCTTCCGACCTGATTGCAGTGGCAAGCTGGCGCTTGTGGAAGGCAAAGCCGCTGCAATCGCTGGGGATCTGTCCATTGATGACAAATTCGTCGCCATCGCGAGTTATGCTTGTCCTGTCGCGCGACGGGACCAAGCAACCAGACGTGTGGATTTTGCCATGCGCTCATGCTCTCAGCCCACGTCGTATTGTTGCGCCTGATATTGGTAGCATCACTGCTGGCAACAGCTGGCTCTGTCATCGCCTGCAGTGAAGCGGCATGGAGCCCAGTGGCAGGCACAGTCTGCAGTCCAAGGCGCGTAAGCGGACCGGATCTTTGCATCCAGCAAAGGCTCCTGCAGGCCAAGATGTCGCAGTTGACACCGAATGCTGGGAACCGACTTGATGATCTTTTGCAAGCGCTGACTTCTTGGGTATACTGCTCCTTTTAAGTGAGTAAACAAGTAAGCTGTTCAGTGTGCGTTGGCTGCAGTCAACGCTTTTCAGAACCCGAAGTGCACTTTGGCAGCTCCAGCTGGAGCATCGCAACTTTCCTAGAAGCGTAGTACGCCCCGTGCGGGGAAAACTGGCAGCAAGGCTCATGGACTTTCGCGAAACCTTCGCGAGTCTTGCACTAAACATTGCCGGACATCTGGCTTACAGGTCTGGATGTTGTGACTCAAAATCACCAACACTACAATGAAGGAGCGAAGCACCACCGGTCCCGAAGGCAGGATTTGTTCTATACCGCGAAAATTGCGAATCTGCAAACTGGGCTTATGTGGAGTTCTTGACCGAAGCGCCCTGCACGACTTTCACCAAACAAATTGACAAAACGCAAAGCTTTTGTCGAGGCGCATGAATAAGACCAAACGAAAGTTGATGAATATTCCGTTCGGCCCCCAAATGACCATGGGTAACTTTTCCGGTTCAGTGGAAAGTATCATCTTTTTAGTGGTTGTCCAACCAACGGTCATCCCCTGTAAAGGACCTTTTGATCAACCCCCAAATGTGGCTCATCTTGTTATTTTACTACCAGAACTCCCATGTAGTTGATATGGTTCTACAGTGCTGGCAAAGTGCTAGCGATGGAGCAACAAGGCGCATGCCGCTCTGCACAATGATGAGGCCAGTACCAGCCATTTCTTCTTCTGCTCTTCTGTGCCAAATCTTGCCAGGACCTGCAATACTAGCACACACTCTCCACCATAAGAAGGACTGCTCTGAGGGGTTCTGAGAAGCAGGCTAGCCTCAAACCAAAGCCTAGGTTAGGATTTTATTTGTGGCCCCACGAATCAAAAAGGACCTTGCAACGTTAGAAGCGGCCTGAAGTGGCGATCTGACCAACCCTGAAAAATCACCGGACGCCAGCCCTGCAATCAGACCGCCCCCACACAAGTGGGTCAGTCCCAAGCAAGTCTCAGTCCCCAAATCAGAATAAAACACTACTTGGGTGTGTCTCAAAAAAAGGGAACCAACAAAAAGTAAATTCCAGTTGGTGTCCTTTCAAAACAAGCACCAAATGGTTACCCTCAACAAAAAACCGCCTGTCGCTCACGCAGGCTGTGACAAAGCTAAGCCAAGCTGATGCAAGGCAGCCACACGCCGCGTGCCAACCAACCAACCAACCAACCAACCAACCAACCAAACCAAACCAAACCAAACCAAACCAAACCAAACCAAACCAAACCAAACCCAACCCAACCCAACCCAACCCAACCAACCAGCCCTAAAAAACAGTTTTTAGGGAAGGAAACACACAGACACACACACAAACACACCCACACCCACACCCACACACCTGCCCACGCACGCACGCACACCCACACACCTGCCCACACACACACATGCACACGCAAATACACACATACCATCCAACCACTCAAAAGAATACTAGCAAAGCATGGCACACGTCGCCCACTTCGCCTCCATGTTGCCCGTGTCGGGACTGGAACAGTTGCACGCCTGGCGACTGGCAATTCTCTCTCACCACGCAAGCGCATAGGTGTCCTTTTTGGAGGAAATAGATTGGTTTCCTTGGTAGATGATTAAACCACCAGGGAAACCAGGGCCATCTACTTTTTCTACCAACACCACCAAAAAGTAGATAGATAAACCACCAGGGAAAATTTATTGGCCATGTTGGCTCCCCCCGGCACATTCCTTGTCTTTGTTCTTGGCCAGGACGAAAAGAAAGTTCCTGCGGAGCAGGTAAACCAGGGCCATCTATTTTTCGAGCCAAACAAAAACGGACACCTATGCTCCAGCGGCGATTCTCACGGCGGTTGGCCCAACCTCAGCGGCGAATTCCGCGTGGTTGGCAGTGCCCATGATCTCACAACCTCGCAGTGACGCTTTTTTTCAGCACGGTCAGCATGCTCCCGCCGCTGTTCTGTCGATCTGCTTGGTTCTTGCTCGTTCCCAGCAACAAGCAAAGAACTCAAGTGGGTTACCAACAGCGCTGGCTTCATAACAACCCTGACACTGTCGTTTGCAAAGGATCTCTTCTCTCCTTGAGGACGGCACAGTCGGCATACCTCAGCAGCGTCAAAGGGGCAATCATCTTCATTCCAATCAATACACGTGGAAGAAAGAGCACCTGAGCTGCGGCAGTTATTTGCTACGTGGTTGAATGGTCGACCGTTCCCACCTTGTTCACCCCGGCACCCGTTTGGATTGACTCATTCACGTCGTTTTCCAACGTCGCATGCATTTTTGATCTCAACCAATCATATATGTATATGTCGTTCAGTAGGTTGCCCAAAAAGAATCCGCCCGGCCTTTACTGTAGTCTGCTGTAAAGGCAGTCTCTCATCTGTCGCCATTCACGCCGGGCAATGTAGTTCAGAAGGAAACAGCTGAAGTCCTCACTCCTGTTCTCGCCAACCTGCTAGGGGTGCCTGCCCATAGAAAAGGGGATATAACACAGGGAACGCCTTGCCATGCCTTGCCATGCCTTGCCAGGCAGGTGGTGAAATGGACTAGAAACTGTCTGCTCTGCACCCGAAGCTGCCTGAAACCCCAAAAGGGAAAAGGCACAGCAAGCGCCCAAGGGACCCTCTTGGGAGGATGGATCAAAATTACACCGCCAGAAGGCCACAGGTTTTGGTCCTTGTTTCCGAAACCCCGAAAAAGTAGGTGCCCTCAAAAAAAGCAGAAATAAATGCCCTCAAAAAAAGAAGGAACAAAAACACACACACACACAGAACAAAAACAACCAACCCCCCCCCCAAAAAAAAAAAAACGACCCCCCCTTTCCCCGGCAGCTTCCGATCTGCCGAATGCATCGAGGCGCTGCAGATTCGTGAGACCGCCCCCAGCTCGGCCCGCCAACTTGGCGGAGTCCACTGGCAGGAAGAGGTTCCTCGGATCTCCGGCCGGGTCGAAGCTCTTTCAGGCTGCCAGGGGCAAAAAGAATCTTTTTCGGCGCGAAACTGGGCGCTCGATTTTTGGCTGCCATGGAGTTGTTGTTTGAGACCACTCGGGGTGGATCCAGCTGTCTCATGGCTGCCATGGAGTTTGTTTGAGACCACTTTGGGGATTCTCAGAACCTGAGGAGGCAACTGCCATGGATCTTTTTGAGACCATTTCGGGGGTCAAAGTGAGAACCTGGGGTGGTGGATCCAGCTCTCTCATGCTGGGGGGATGATTTTGAGACCATTTCGGGGGTCAAAGTCAAAACCAGTGGTAAACTAGCGAGTCCTCTGGTTATGGGGAAATTTAGAAATTGTCCCCATGCCCATCCCATAGAGTACTCCGTATTTTGACCGAACCTCATATTCCCTTCGGACCCCCCCCAATGACCATGGGTTAACTTTTGCCATGTGGGGAACATATCATCTTGTCCATGTATTTGTCCAATGCCCATGATGCATTGGTCCCATGACTTACGGACCATTTGATCAATCCCCATGCTGAAAGTAGGGAACACTGGGTGGGCACTCCTCCAGTCTCGTCGCTGAGTCGCCGGCCACAGCCCTCGCGCCTGGAACCAGAGAGAAAAGCTTCTCGCTGTTGGGTTCGTGCCCCAAACGTGGAACCTGAGGGGAACTCCTTAAACCATAAAAGGTTCCATCTACTAAACCAGGTCTAGTAGAACTCCTGAAAATTCTTGGAACTCTTCTACTTGTTCCTCTTCAAGGGACCTGTCAGGTTCCATCTTGGGGTGTAACACGCAGCTGAACACATGCACGCCTCTATGAGCGGGAGGATGGAGGGTTGTTCTGCTTTTTTGTCTGACTCTTTGAGGGGCCTATTGAAACATCTGCCACCCAACAAGTACCATCTGTGGCACGCAGTTGTCGTCACCTTCCGAGAAGACTTTCCTTGAATGCAAGATGAAGAAACCACGTCCAGGGCTGTGCCAAAGCTTCAGTGGCTAACATGTTTGCCTCCATCAACACGTTTATTGATATGGCTGCTAGCTCAACGACAGCACGCATTTGGTGCCACTTGCCTGCCAGTGACAACAGACCTAACCAATTCTAATGGCAAACATATCCTCCCACAACTGCATCGAAAGGGAAGAGTATGCCGCGTGTCATGGCAGAAGGTCCCTTGGCTCATTGAGTATTGCCGTCAACAAAGGCCAACGCCTAGAATCTCAACTGTCATGGGGGCCACCTTCGGATTTCCCCAAATCAAAAGTTGTTCAATCTTAATGGCGGTTTCCATTGAAACTCCCACTTTTGGAGCCTCCCTTTAAAAAAAGGAACACTTTCTTGATGCTTTCCATTGAAAACGATCCACTGCCGGTGTCCATGAAAATCGATCCAGTTGGTTTTCATTGAAATCGATCCCCTCTTGAACACTTGGAGCTTGAACTCGGAGCCCTGAACTTGGCCTTGGCTTTCTCCCGCAGCTCGAAGATGATGGCCGGCTGCCTCCAATGACTTGGGCCTTTGGCTCGGATTGCCTTCACCTCAGCGCCACCGACTCAGGTGACATGGATCAATCTTCCCTGAAAGGCACTTGGTTGACGTTAGGTGAGCAAAAACTTGATTTTCAGCAGTTAAGTGGATTTGGATTTCCCACTAACCACAATAAGCTAAAAATGTAAAATGTGTCCCATCAACAACCATGCGCAGGTTTGGGGCTCCGGGATTCTGGCGCCCTGTTTTAATGTATGACCAACCATGATTTTGGAGAAGGACCAACCATTTTTGACGGGTGAGAAGGAGACTCCAGGTGGCTATGGGTCAAAATTAGGTACCCAAAATGGGTTGCCCTGAGGCCCTGGGTAATGGGACCAAGGACTAAAATCTGCGGCCCGATTCCTGGTGCTCACTAATTTTGACCCATAAGCCACATGGGGTCGATCAATCTTCCCTGAAAGGCCTGCAGGTTTGACCCAGGAAAACTTCTCTCATGTGGGAGAAATATTGTCTTTTTTGCGGGTTTCCAACCAATGGTCATCCCATGTCAAGGACCTTATGATCAGCCCCCACATCTGCAAACCTGTGCATCTGTTGATGCTTGTGTGTTGTGTGCGCGTGCAAACGCACGTGCGTTTACTGTGAAAAGTGGTCTGCCACTCCGAATTCATGGTTAGTTTCTTTTGGGGTTCCTTGCTACATTCCCAAAATGAAGGTGGCCGGCCGGCATCAGTTGCCAGGGCGGTGAGGCGCCTTTCCTGCCCGTCCATGAGCTCTTGTCTTTCAGGCTCAGCATCGACAAAGAAAGAGGCGGGTGAAAGGCGAAGCCAAAGTCTGGGCTGTCCGTTTTCTGCTAAACGTGTTTGACCTGTGGGTTGAATGGCGCAACCCAACCACTACACCAACTAGAAAGCAAAAGGTCTAAGGAACCGAATGGCTGAGAACCATCCAGAATTGAAGGGTGACCTTCGACTCAGATGATGTCGAACCAGTGAAGTCAAGCCCCCGCCTGCTGAATGTGCAGTAGCTCATTGGGGTAGATCCTCGGGACCATCCGTCAGTTGCAGCGAGCGAGCGGCGAGACTTGCAAGACATCTCAAACCTTCGGCAACCCATGTTCCTCCAATGAGGGATAGCTTGACGTGTTGCAACCCACTCTTCGGCTTTTGAACAACCCACCAAACACTATGGAGACTATCTGATGCTATCTGAGCCCTGGACAAAATGTCGGGCGCCCCCCCCCCCGAGTCCTCCCAAAACTAACCATAGACTTTGTCACATGCTCTGAGAACATCATGAATTTCAGAGATCACAAACTCACGGGGCCTGACAATCGCAGCAATGTGCCGAGCTGCTCCTTTTTCATAAAGTCCCAGAGGTTCTCCTGACAGATCCAACCCAATGAATGGAGTCCAAACGAATAATGCTGTAGACCTTCAAAGGACCTGGGATAATGAGTCAGCTGCAGACCCTCCCTCTGGAAATCAAGGGCAAAGGGCAATGTTGTCGTCTGAGGCATATTCCTGGCGTTTTTGGCAATTCCCCGCAAAGTGGCTCTACCACCGCCCCAAGATGACGACTCTTAAATGTCGCAGTGGAGCTTTCTCCATGGGTACACTCTCTCAGGAAGCTCCCAGAAGGCCCCCCGTACATGGAACCAAGTCTTCCCAAGGGGAGTCTGGGGGTGCATTCGACACATGGCTGGTCGGCCATCTGCGCCTTGAGCGCCTCAAACTTGGCGGCATCCATGGCGACGACAAATGGATACCTTTGCTAGACCTTTTTCAGATGTCGCCGCCGGAGCTTGCGAGGATGATAACAAATTTGTGGCATGCCTGGCCTTCCAAGTCCTCTTCCTCTCCAATGGCTATGATTTGATAAGCGGCTGTGAGCCAAGCAACGGCTGCGGGACGCACTCCTCTGGAATTTACCTCCCAACCAGAAATCCGCATCCCAAGGAATCGCGCCGAATTCCGAATAAGGCACAGGCAATGGCCGGGAGCAATTCTTGCATGGCGCTCCAAAGGGCTTTGAAATCTGACGGCTTGATCTGTGGCATGTTCGGTGATCTCTCCTCCAGACTAAAGCAGGTTGAACAAGCAGGAGGTTGAACCATCATCGTGAACCCAAAGTAATGAGCCAACATAGTTGCGGCTCATTGCGGCAAGTCCGGTTGGCGCGGCGGCTGGGGGCGAAACCTTCAAACAAAGACTACAGGGAAGACTTGTTTCCTTTACAAATCAGCATGCAGAGCTCCGTCAAGCTAGATCAGCAGTTTTTGGTGCTTCTTGTAAATTTAGTTATGCTTTGCAACCTTGTATGCCATGCCGCATCCAACATCAAGCAAAGACTTGGGAACTTGCAAGCGCCGCCAGATAGCTGGACTTAGTCACTAAGACAAGGAGACGATTTGAAGAATGTCTGTTCGCAACGATCTGAATGCTCACATTGACCGACGGCCTTGCGGTAGCGCAACTCTTCCTCCACTTTCCGCACAGGCCTGGCTCTCAGGATTTCCAACGGCTAGACATCATTAGAGTTAGGCCCAGTTGTAGAATGCAGATGTTATTGCTTGCTTCACTTTGAGTCACGGGCAAAATGCAAAAACGTATCCCAAGATATCCTAAGTCTACCCCAGTACAGCAGGTACGGGGCCATTCCCGGATCGTTTGCGAGCCTGTGAGCCTCTGGGCCTCGCGTGCCTTTCTGCGGCCCAGCCGTGCCGAAATACTTGCTCGCTTCTGCTGGCATGGGTTCACAGCAGCAAGGACATACCACGGTGGCGGTTGTCTGCCTACACATAGACCGGATTAGGAGCACTCTCACTGTTCACGAGTATGTAACAGCCGGAGAGCTGGCAAACTGGCACTTGAATGGACACAAACACCGAGCTTCTGTCTGAAGTTGCGGGTTTTGCATCTGTCAGGCAACCCTGGCTTTGTACAAAAGCTTCCTCACTACAGGGGTCACTGGATTTCCCCAAATCAAAGTTGCACTTTATTTTGGTGCCCATCTGAAACTGCCACTTTTTGGAAGTTCCAAAAGGGAATTGGATGAACCCTGAACTATGCAAACCCCCGCTGGGCCTGGGAATGTGATCAGTCAGCCGACCCAAGGCCTGACAGAAAGCAAAGCCGACACTACGCTGAGACGTGCATTGGAAGTCTAGATCTATCGTATGGCAAATCTTCTCCCTCGAATTCCACCACTCCAAATGACCAGCCTGCACAAGTTTCTAGATATAGGACCATCCCCGTCGCTGGATTTGGCGGCCAAATCACCCAAGTCACATTCCAAATCACCGATTTTGGGCTTGACAAAGCGGCAGACAAGCCAACTCTCCTCAAGTCACTGCAGACGGGCCAGTTCGGATATCCACATTCCAGAAGCGAACTTCAGGTGCCGCAGAAAAGCAAGCTCTCAAAAACAAAAAGGCCATCTCTTCTGCGATTCAGGCAAACACGTATAGCAGGTGAGTTTGGAATGGCTCCACCATGTTTCCCAACAGTTGCCGCGACAACGAACCGTCTGCGCAATGCGTACGCCAGATTGCAGTGCTTACCATGGCGGCACTCCGTCTCGGGGATCAAACTCATTCTAGACAAACCGACTTGGCGAAGTTTAACATGTGGGTTACATGGAAACCCAATCACTAAACCACCTAAAACCACAAAAAACAACATCGAAGGAACCGGATGGTTCCGGGAACCACCAGGTGACCTCAATATTCATTCAAGCAAAATCAGGTTTGCGCAACAGTGACCGTCTTCTCACGGTCGACTCAAAGCAAAGCATGGACCTTGCAATGCCCGAGAGCAAAGACCTGTCGCGATATGGGGGGGATAACGTCTCCTTTTGAGCTAGTACCTGTTTTTGGGTCCATTTTAAAGGGGAACCAGGACGGAAGACCACAAACTTCGGGGGCTCCAACCTAAAAACACAACAACAACCTGTCATTTCCTCTCCAGCTGCGTTCCATACAATTTCGGGGGGTCCGACGATCCTCCCATATCCACAAGGAGCAATCGGCTGTGGGACAAGAATGGGGTGAGCCCAAGAATGGCTTGCCATGGTAACTGGAAACACGGACTAAAATATGCGGTCCAATTCCTGGTGGTTTCATTTTGACCCATACCCAATGATCTAGGGGTTGATTCCCCATTCTTTTCAACCATCGTTCTTTTCAATGACCAGCTGTTTTCCAGGTTTTTTAGTGGTTTTCTGGAAAGAAGGGTCCCTGGAAAGAATGGAAATGAAAGCTACCCCTAGAAATGAATGTTCTTGCCGGCTCAGGGCCAGGCTGGTGCCGTCCGAGTATCCCGCCTGGCTTCGCAAAAAAACAATTCTTAGGCTGGATCGAGGGGTTGGGGGGGGCGGTCCGGGACCCAACTCCATTCATCTAGTCTTCCCATGTCTTCCCCGCAAAAGAAAAGGCATTCAATAGGTGGAGATCTCCAGGGGTCGAAGAATTCCTCCCCCTCCGCCAATTCCAGCTTCAGGGGGGTCATCGGCCAGATTGGGCCTCTCACTTGTCCCCTGAAAGCCAGTTTGCGTGCAACAGACCAACATGTACCGTCTCATCAAAACGGCACATTTGGAAAGGGCGCAGCAGCCGCATTCCCCAACTCAAGAGCCTTTAATCGTCAGCCTGGAAGCCACGGACCATTTTCGAGCTTCCTCCATAAAGGATGATTGCCCAAATCGATCGAGACATGAGCAGCGCGCAATCAGGAACTGCTGCCCTTGAAACGGGCTCTGACCGTAGGCGTCTTTTAGGGGAAATAGATGGCCCTGGTAGATGATTAAACCACTCGGTAAACCAGGAATCGCCACCTATTTTTCTACCAAAATCACCAAAAAGGACACCTATGGCCATCGCCTCCTTGACGTCGCCTCCCTTCCGCCAATTGGCCCACTCCACGACCCAAAGCACACTGTTGCGCGCCTGCTCCCGGCTGGGTCAGCCTGGCAGCGGCCGCGGGGTGGAGTGCCCATTGCCGAAGCTGCCACACTTCGAAGCGAAGCAACATGGCAACATAGCCATGGGTCAAAAGCCAAATCGTACCCCCAGTGAACATCCCAATCCCCACTAAAATAGACTGAAACCTACCCCAAAATGGGATGCATTGGTTTTGACCCACAACCACATGAGTACACCCAAAGAAGCGTTCACAGCATCGGGCATTTGCAGGAGCATGTCGAACACCCCACTCATGCTACTCTGTGTGTGCAGACGCTCGCACATCAATGGCATCAGATGATAAATGACACAGCAACGGAAGCTACCTTTGGATTAAAGAAAGCTTGGAAAAGCGAATTGGAAGATCCCCAAAGTCTAACCTCTGCCAGTGGCCGCTCTTGCCCTGTCACGCGCACCTTCGGTGAAGTCTTTGGCTTTGCCTGGCAGATCTGGTCAACTCAGCAGTGAGATGGGTCTGTCTGCTATTGGGGGGACCCCCAAAACGGTGGCTTTTCCTTTTGGTGTCCCTCTAAAACCACCAAAAAAACGAGGTACCCTCAAAAAACGACACTCCCAGCCATCCAGATGTGTCTACCCCTAGACTTCGCCGCATTAACCAGCTTTCTTTGCTCTCACGGATTCATGAGCGGCGTTCTTCACTCCGGCCTGGGATGCCATGGCGGCAGTCGGAGGCTGCTGTTCAAGCCAACCGCTTTGCGATCTGTTCTGAGTTGGTTTGCTTTTTGCCGAGCCCCGGATTTACCCGCAGCTCCAAATCAATACACCTTCCATGCCAAGGACAATGAGGCGCAATGCTGCAATCGCTGCATGTTGCATCTTGAGCCAAAGAATATCAAAGAAACAAAAGCACTTGAGGCATCCACAAGTCTCCGCAGAAGCTGGGCAACATGTACCGGGATGTACCGGTCACTCGCAACCCACCAGCTCTTTGCCCTCGCAGCTTTGGTCAATCAATAAGCCGACATTTTACAGGTGGCGCGTTTGCGCGCTTGCGCCGGAACAGGCCAGGGTCAGCTCCGAAATAGCCAACGAAGCATGCCCTTTCTTTGAGGCCAACGGATGCTGAATTTGTTGAGGAGCTGGCCCTATATCCGACGCCGAGATCCTCTAATTCCACTGGCACGTCTGTGCTTGTCACATCGGCCAGCGGTATCAGAGGACTAAGCCATTCAGCATTCATCGCTCGCTGGGAACTTGAGCACTCCTGCCGCGATGACTTGAAGCAGCCCGGCTGCGGAAGAAAGATGTACAATCCGAAACTAAATGCTGTTGCCTCAAAAACACATGGTATGCAAATGGATCAGGGGCAAATCAATACGCTGAAATGCGCCGAGCCAAAAGCTCGGAAAGCCCGGCTGTCTTGAACTCCAAAAAGGCTCTTGCCCCCAGCATCCTGAGAATCAACTCTCAGGGTCTCCTCCATTTCCCTTTTTGAAGCCGCCAAAAGCGGATCGACCGCTTCAATGGAAATCACGAAAGTGATCAACTTGTCATTTGCGGAAATCCAGTGACCCCCGGTAGTTAAGCTGTTGCACAATAGTCCATGTTGCCATTTACGAGGTTAACCAATTCTGGGGCTACCCTACTTTTGACCCACAGTCACGTAGCACTAAGCTTCTCCAAGCAGGCCAGCCCTCACGAGTCCTTGGAGAAAGAGAGAGGTTTAGAGTTCTGGGCTGCCTGTTTTCCGATCCCCCGCGAAAAGTGACGAACTTTTGGTGGCTTAAATGGAAACTACCACTAAACACTAAAAGGCTTAAAAGCTAAGGGGATGGCTGGGAGCCACCTGGAGTTGGTTTGTCTTATATCTGAAT